CTTTTTTTGCTGTACAGAACCGAAAAAAAGGTTCTGTAAGAGATGGTTCTGCACTTGGGTAAAACGCAGAACCTTCAAAAGGTTCTGTCAAAATTTTTATCCTTTTTTTGAGACTTTGAACGCATTTGGAGCATTTTGACAGTCTGCAGAACCTTTTCGGAGGTTTCTGTAAACCTCCTTTTATTTTTTTCAGAGTAGTATGTTATGTGTCAAGAAAATAAGAAAATATGCCCTTGGTTTATATATAATGTATACAGATGCACGAAATCATACTTGTTTTGCTCCCCATTCCAGTCACGATCTCGGTAAAGCGTTTTGGTCTCGGCCCCGATAAAGATTTATTTTTTGATCCCGCACATCTCTAATAGTGTACTAGATGTTTGCTCCGATGATGACGAATGTATTTATTGAAATATTAGAGTAATAGTTGTTTCAAATAAATTATATTCAAACCAGTTTTATACTTCATCTTTTAGTTAACTATCCGTACTCCACCATCTTCATTTATCAAAGATTAATTTGATTGGAAAAATATTCTTTGTTGCCTTATTCTTTTTTGTTGAGATTCTTCTAGATAAACTAGTTGTTATTATAATGTCATCTTACTCGGATGCTATCGATGACAATATAGAAAAGAAAATTGGAAAAAATTTGACAAAACGGTAAGTGAGAAATATTTACGGGTAAGAGAAAATCTTTTTTTTCTTTGCCTTTAACAAAAAGATGGCACTCAGCTAATTGTTTTTATTCATTATTAGCGACCGCAATCACTTGATTATTAATTAAATCAAAATAAATCGATTATATTATTTATTTGTTTTATTTTAATTCTTATTTATCGTTGGATGTTTTCCATATTTATTTCTATGATGAAAAATATTCATTCAAAATATGAATATTTCAATGAACATTTACAAATAGAAAGAGAAAGATTAAATGCATTTAAACAAAAACTATACGAATTAAAGCAAGATGCTGGAAAGAATATGGACACAAGTGATATAAATTGTCATAAATGTTTGTTCTTCAATTTATGATTTAGATTTTACTTATGTATCATATAATCTATTGGAAAATAATAAACATATTAAAAAATCTTACAATGGTACTGTATTACCATTACAATATTTCTTGATTCTAATTTGTTTCATCAAATTTATTTGTTATTATAAATTTGTGTATACAAGGAGAATTTTTTATTGTGGGCGTACCCAATGTTTATTACACACTTATCAATGGTCTTTGTATATGGTTATTTTCAGGTTTTGTATTATTTAAAATCTTGATAACACTATTTACTATTGTTCATTATCGAATGGTGAAACACATGTTAACAAGTGAATAATAATTCTGAGTCGTATAAAAAGCTGTCTGTTAATACACTACAAAAATTGGTAGAGAAAATGAAAAATATATCACCATCTCTCCTATTCCTTTGAATTCTCACCCAATAGATCCGTAACATTTACATTTAGTCATCAGTTAATGTCGTTGTTTTTGTTAGTTGTCGTATTTACAAATCTTTCTTTTCAATACATCAATTATGTAATAATGAAATCTATATTAATTATATCTTTGTTGATCGTTGTTTTCATATGTATACAAATAAAAAAGTAAAAAAATATTTTCAATAACTGAATACAAATATTTGAATACGTTTTTTTTTTATTTGACTTGTTATTAGTGATAAAACCAAGGCGTCGCTCGTGGAAGCTCAGTCGCTTCGAGAAATTTTTGAATCGTCCCCTTCATAATTAGAGCGATCTATCATACAATGGAAAGATATGCTTGTTTTCAACTTAAAACGAGAGACTTCGAGACCACAGTCCCTGTCCAATGCATGTGCGTGGTAATAAAGATCCGAATCAAACTATGAGGCGTCCAATGACAGCTGCTCAACAAAGTGAGTAAATTGTGAGTGTGAGTGTAAAAACTATAGTTCTATTTTATGATTAGTTGGCTGGTGGACAAAAGATGAACCATTAAAAACCAAAGAACCATGGACTCAAGAAAAACGTCATGTTCATGCTCAATCTGAAATGACAAAGTAAGATAGTAGTAGTTGACAGTTTTTCTTTGGCTTACTATTCTTTTAAACTTTAGATTTGTTGATGATATGGTATTGACAGATCGGTGTTTTCGATTATTTTAATTTCCTTTTATTTTTTTTGTCTAAACGAATTTCTTTCTTTTCTCATCCGTCCATTTATAATAATTTTTTTCATTGTCTTCTTTTTTTTTCTCAATAAATATTTTTCGAAACATTATTTCACTACAAAAAAAAACTATCCTCAATTACTTCTGTTTTTTTACCCAGGTCAAACAATCAGATAGTAAGATCTTGTATGATCATACCTCTGGTCCGGTATGATCGTATAAGATCAGATGAAATCATACAAGGAATTGTAAAGCCAGATCATCGTATCAATTCGTACTGTAAGATTTCTGTAAGATTCTTATCAGATCTTACAAGAATCTTATGTCCTGATAAGATCTTATACGAATCTTACAATACGAATGGATACGATGATCTGACTTTACGATTTTTTGTATGATTTCATCCGATCTTACAAAAATACCGTCTAATTTTTCACCTGGGTAGTTAATTATGAAGATAATCATATTTGGCGCTAATGGTGCGGTTGGTTCTGAATGTGTTCGACAAGCCATTACAGATAAAAATGTTCAAAACATGCCACGACCATTACACGACGTCCTCTAGACAAAAATATAATCTCTGACAAGCACACCAATGTTATTCATACAGATTTTCTCGATTATACTCCATTATTGAATCTCTTTGAGAGTCACCAAGCATGTATATGGGCATTGGGTATATCACAGAATGCTGTTAATGAAACTGAATATATTAAGATTACACATGACTACACATTAGCAGCTGCTAAATCAATCGCCAATGTCAATCCAACTATGCGATTCATATTTATTAGTGGAATGGGTGCTGACTCAACGGAACAAAGTCGATTTTTATTTGGACGTATTAAAGGTAAAACTGAAAATGACCTAGTCAAAGAAAGTGGCCTCAAAGAAATCTATACGGTACGTCCAGCTGGCATCATATTTACAGAACAACCGTCAAATAAACCTTGGTATGAACGTGCATTCACACCTGCTTTGCGTGTCTTCAAAGTTATTAAACCGGCATGGGTTATTACTGCGATAGGATTGAGTCGTACAATATTATATTTAGCAAAAAATGGTCATCATGCAACATTATTTGAAAATCAAGATTTAAGAAATATTATCAGTGAAAATCATTTGTTGGAATAGTAAACTTTATTTATTATTATAATTTATTTTTGCTTCCTGCTTTTCTTTGCTTGAACAAAAAAAAACAGAGTATTATATATTTTATGTAACAATCGAGCATTGTAAAACGCATGTATGATATTAAGTTAGGGGCATAAATGTTTAAATATCTATATATATATAGAAAGAAAAGAAGAAAAAGGTATTGAATTGACAGAAATATGGAGAAGGAAACTAGCCAAACAAAAACAGAATTCCACTGTTCGACGAACAAGATCCAAGTAAAAGAAAATGTGCAAACAGAAGAAAAAGAAATGGACGAAATCAAGAGAAACAATTAGAAATGCAGATTAATCATATTTTTGATGAATAATCAACCGAAAAAAAATTCAGGAAATTCTTGATAATTGTACAATAATTAATTCGCCTGTTAACAACTTTAAAATTAAGAATAAATAAGTCAACAAAGCATTACGCTGAAAATAGATATGCAAGCTCTGCACAAGATAGACACTTTAACGCACACGTACATATACGTTCCGTTGAAAATTTCATTTGAGTTTTGCAGGATGTCCTGCCAGGTTCATTGAAAATGCTAAAAATAAACTCAAATCTATATTTGTTTCTATTGCATTGCTAGTTCATACATGCATTAGAAAACATTGATTGAGTGTTGTTATTCATCATTGCCGATGATGGAAAGCCACCACTTGTTGAGCTCGTTGGACTAAGTAATTGATTGAGGGGTAAAGAAGATTTTTGAGCATCACCACGAGTATGTGGTATGAGATTATTTAACGATATATCAATTTTTCCTTGTGTCGATGTCCACGTATTCTAAGCAAAAACATAAATATCTTTTCTCGGTAATGAAACAAAAGTTATTCAATCCGCGTAAGTTATAAAATAAATCGTATCATTAGTTAATCCACTCCCAATAAGCAGAAAAATGTTATAGCAGCAAAATTATACCTTTTTCTCTACGGATTTTGTTTCGTCTTGATTAGCAACTTGAGGGGACATGCTAGGAAAAGTCACCTATAAGAAATGACTGTTCTCTTATTTTCTGATCGATAGATCTTACATTCTATAGATTTATTATATCTACTATGAATTAAAACTTACATTAAATGAATTATTATTTGGCCTATTAAATTGTTGTTGATTTGGTGGAAACATCATTGGCTGTTGAAACATTTGTGGTCGTACAAATGATTGTTGTTGTTGGGCAGGGAAAAACATGGATGGCTGTTGTGTTGGTTGAGATGGCATCATAAATAAGTCGATATCACTCGGTAAAGATTTATTTGTTGTCGCTGGTGGTGAATTCATCGGATGTAATAGATCATTGGTTGCCGTGTTCGTTCCTGATAATAAATCAAATGGGTCAAATGGTGTTGTTGTTGTCAAGGATGTTGCAGGTAGAACTGGAATAGTTGATGTTGGCCAAATAGACGACTGTTGAGTCCTAAACAAATATTTGACTTTTATTAGATAAGACAAAATAAAGAAGAAAAAATGCTCTACGTGGAAGCAGGAGGCGTCAACGGTGGAACAGAGCCAGTTGATGCTTCATGAAATTGTCCAAAATCATCGTCAAGAGGTGAATGAGTAGTTGGCGCTTGCACATAGGGTGTAAAACCATCATCATCACCCAATAAATCAATGATAGGAGCTTGAATTGTAGTTACTGTTGCAGTTGCAATGGGTGGAACCAATTGTGGTTTTTTAGTTGTTGTTGAAGTCTTAAAGAATCAATTAATTTTCTTTGTTAACGACTCGATATTCAATGAAAGATCTTCGTTTTTGTCAATGTCATCATAGAGTCTCTATGGTTCAGCCTCATTTCAGACAAGAAAAAAAGAAATAAGAATATAACTCAATCATCGAATGGCTAAGCGACGTTTTTTCTCTGTATCATAGTCATCTTGCATGAATAATGCTATTCATCACTCAATGTACCTATCGATCGAAGTTGAACATATTTACATTAGAACAGTGTAGTATTAACTGTTAAATACAGGCGTACAGGAAATTCAATAAGTATCCTCCAGAAGTGTTCTCTCTATCCTTTTTCCTCATCGTATGGTTTGTTGTCGGATAATGTCAGTACTGTTTAGTTGATTTCTTTTGGCCTAAGGCAATATTGCTAAAAATGGGATTATTCAATAAAACATCTTGCTTTTCGGTTATATAATAACATGTTTATATTGTATTACTTCAGTCGTGTTTAAATGTTTTAATGAAAAAAAACACTACCAATTAGAGTTATATTGTCCAAATGTGTTTATAAATTATAAAAGCTTGAGTTTGTCTTGTCATTTTTTTTCTCTCTAGATGAATTTAGAGTAACGAGAGAAAAAATCGAGAAGCATTTTTTATTTATCATATCTCTGGGAGGTCATAAATTTATATTCAAACGGTTTTATCAACATACTCGATTTTGAATAGACGATTGAGTATTATTTGTTGTCGAAGGTTTTCTCATTTCAAAATCGCTCTCCTAAATTAAAAAGAAATCAATGAATATTTTATGATAAGAAAATATGAGAAAAATAAATACAAGACATCGATTAGGATAAACCTCAAATTTAACATAATTTATGATAATATAAACGATATTCATGCAAACAAGTACTCATAAAATATTGGTCTTAAAGCAATATTATTTACATTTAACAAGTTTATAGCAATAGAGGAATCATTTTGATTATGATAAAAAAGATTCTATATTTAAAAATAATTTTCGAATGAAAGATTTTTTTTTCTCGTCAATTTACCTTTGTTTTACTTTGATATTCATTGGATTGACCTTTCAATTGTGAATCTTGATATCGAGTATTTTTCTTTGAATATTGACTTTCATCATCACTAAAAAACAAAAAGCATCGAATAAAATTTATTGAATTTAGTGGTTGAAAAGAAAAAATTTGCTCAGTATATTATGAATGGATGAGATAATGCATTCATCATTTGTTTTTGTCAGATGACGCGCATGAAATTTATCATCATAGCAAATTTATTTCATTAATCACCTTATCTCTGGCGAATAGTCATGTGATGGACGGCGTTGATCGAGTACTAATTCTTTCACTTTACTTGCTATATCTTCTGCTTTATTAAAACCTTCTTCTAAAATAGATGGATTTGTTGAACGCCATCGACCGTCTAATTCAACAAAGTCTTTTTTTCTTGTTGCACTACTTCCGCTTGAACTATTGCAATCATCATAATCATTCCATCGTTCACCTAAAAGAAAATTTTTTTAGATTAAAAACAACGGAAAAACTAAAGCTTACCGTATCGAGAAGTTGATGCATCACTACCAACACCAATATATTTGTCTCGGTTAGCTTTAGCTTTTTTACGTTCATCTCGAAGTCGATCATCATCTTGCATAAAGTCAATAATTTCTTTAACCTTGTGACGAACTATAGAAAAAAAAGATAACAAAGCTATTGACAAATATCATTTCGAAGAATAATAATTTTACCATTTATGCCTTGATCTTTGCCTTGTTCATCAGTATAAGAGAAATTTTCCAAACTCTTAAGATCATAATGATGTTCACGTGCTGATGTTACAACTTTTTCACTGCCATTTTTAATTAAATAAAGTAAAACAAGTAGTGACTAAAATATTAAAAGAAAACAATATTGATTTTTTAATGTAAGCGAGTAAACATAAAAATTTCTTGTCTTCTTTTATAATTATATTCTGTGCATATCTATTGTTTCACGAAAGACTAAATGAATGTGTTTGTTTTATTTTATATGTAAGAAAAACAACATGATACTCAAGAAAATAGATTTCTTATGAATTGATGTTGTAATGGTTATAGATCTCTGGAATATAAAGTTTCTTTATTCTTTATAAGACCTTGATCCAATGGAGAAATCATTTCCGAATAAAACACGAGGCTCCCAAGCTAATAATAGTTACGGTACGATAAGTCTGAAGGGCTACTTTCATGATATGACTGTTTTACACGATGAAACCTCTTGTAAGATAAGTATTAGTTGCTGAAAATAGATCTTAGATAGCTCCATGATGTGCATTTTCATTTTTTTTGTCTTTATAAAATTCACAATAGTAGTTTTGAATTTCCAAAAAGTTCTCATCTAAACTTGATAATTCATTTTTTGCTAATAAAATCATTTCGGTAAGCAATTCTGCCAATGACTGTTGAGAAAACTAATTACGATTCTTGATCTTTTCCCGCTCATTATACTTTATAGGTTCGTCGCCAATATTTTTTTTCTTGTCCAAAACACCGTTTCCAAAGCATTCCCATCACCTATTATATAATACAAATAGTAAAAGCAAAATTCAATTTTATATTCCTTTACTATCAATTACCTCAGTGTAATGTTCATAGGAATATGATAATTGAGAAAGTTCTTGTAATAATCTACCTGGTGGTCCCCAAGCTTCATCATTTGTTGCTTCAACAACTTTGGCTTCTGTTTCCGTATAATTCATAACAATATTTGTAGCTTTATCGAATAGTTCACGAACTTTATAAGGCATTGCTGGTATATAGTTACTTAAATTAATTTTACTAAGATCCATCTTTGTGGTTATTTTGTTGCCTTTCAACTACTCTGTAAATAAGAAAAACTTAACAGTAACAAAAAAAAATTGTAGATAAAGATTAAAAACAAAAAAGAAAAGGAAAAGTACGAGAAAACGATTTATGTCAGTTAAAAACAACACCTAAATGCATAGCACAGGAGGGAAGAGGTATAACGCGATGGATGACATGTCTATCGGGATGGATCAAACAAAGCTGGTAGGAGAGTCGAAGGTGATGATGGTGACGAAGACAACAACCATTCAAGTAGTTTGACTTTATTTTTCATTGGACTTCTTTTTTTACTGTCTTCATACTGAAATTTTTATCCTAGATTATCAATAGAAAAAAATCTATTTGTTCAAATCTAAAATAAATTATATAAAATAATATAACAACAACTCTACATGATGTCGCTAAGAGTAGATCAAAGCTTGTTCATTAGCATTTAACCAATCAAAAGAGTTGTGTTATGCATCGACACTTTCGAGTATTGCCCAATACGTCATGGCTATTGATCTGAAAGTAAGACACTTTTATGAATATGTCGTCATAAGAATTTACGTAATTTTAGAGTATAATGAAGGGCCTTGATCGTCGATATGGAATGACATGTCGTCGGTTTAAACGAAGGTAGGTAAGTCAATTTTTTTAAAATTTCACGAAATAAATATGATTTAATTATGATATTGTTCTATTCATTAAAGGTTTCAATAAAGTTTTTTCTATTAGAAGAAAATATACATTTTGGAATAACAATTGTTGGTCAATTTGATGTCATTCGACAGTATGAATTTCATGTTTTCTCTATAGAGTAGCTAAAAATATCACTGAGTATACTTTTTAAGTTTTATGACTCATCAGTTTTATTTTTTTAATCAGATTAAAAATCAAAACTGTGTCTATTATTCTTTCCTGGAATTAAGGTCTCGACAATCAATTCTACTTTGCTTCATTGGTGCTTTTGTTGTATTTTATCTTTTATCGAAATGGTTGCCACGTCGAGAAGTCTACCAAAACAGTATGCCTTAAAATGTTAAAAATCGGTTAACAACTTATATTTCGTTTTATAGTTCAATATGATGCATGTTTACAGCATAGATTGGAACAGTTTGCACGTGATCAAGTAGAAATGAATACCATTTTTAATCACGAACCAATACAATATGGAGAAATTGTTAGCTTACCATTTACAGGTTAGGTTCTAAGAATTTATTTTAGAATAAAACTCGTCTTCCAGCTGGGAAACGGATGGATAAAAAAAAGAGGTTTTTCTTCCATCCATATAGCAACTTACAGATTTGATGGATGCCTTCAATTGAATTTCAGATTAAACTAATTTTCTGTTAGCATAAATTCATTATTTAAAAGTCATCTTTTGATTCATTGATAAGCGCAAGTGTAAAACGCTTGTTTTTTTTGTTATAGGTAATGGTTACCTTGGTCTTTCTTTGTCCAGCCAATCTCAAATTCAACTTTTAACTGATATTCGATCTCCATTTACATCAAGCGGTTATTCTCCTGTGGTTCGAATTTCTTCAGATACATGGGAAGATTCCAGTGCAACAATAGTACAAATGAAAGAAGGTGTTGTAAGACGAATTCAATGTTTTAAATTTAGTAAAGAACGTTCAGCACATGTAACACATGTGCTATATGCACATCGAAAACGCCCGTCATTAATTGTACAAGATATCGATATCATAAATCCAAGTGAACATACACTGGATCTTGCCTTAAAACAAAACAATCAAATATTAAATAATGATTTAAAACAACTTGATCAACAAGATGTTCAATTTGATCAAACAAAAGACTCATACATTATGACAACGAATCAAATTCCTGTTCGACAGCATGGTTTTATAATTTATGTTATTCTTACAAATAGAATTATTTCTACCACTAATGTTAAACCTGGTAGGTAAGTTGAAAATCGCTCATCTTTTTTTTTGTCTAATTATTTATTTTAATCGTTTTTCTTTAATTTAGTCTAGAGAAACAAACAATTTTAACTGTAGTAAAATTTTCTTCTGTTCTTTCGGAAAATTCTTTACTTAATAAAACATATGTACAAGAATTACAACAAGAATTACAAACGCAAGCTAAAAGTGATATGTCTGATGCTTTATCAATATCAGCAATAAGATTATTAAAAGAACATACATCGACATGGTCATTGATATGGGAAAGTGGATTTTCAATAAGTCGTTCGTTAGCACCATCAACAATGAATGGTGATATTGTCAATCGAACAATTTATTATGTTCTTTGTTCAACATCAGCACCACTTTATGAATTAAAAGTAGATGAAAATAAAACAGCTGAGTTTACTCATAGTCTTTTTCAAGTTAATCAATGTTATGAAAGTCATTCAACATTGTAAGTTTCATTATTAATCAAAAGGAAACTATTCAAACTGTGTTATTCATTGCTTGAACATACTGAAAGATTTCGTCCAGATAAGCTATGAGCTAGCTATTCATCCTCAAGACTAATATATAGAATTTTGATAAGACATTTTTCATGTTATAGAAGTTCAGTAATTCATAGAATAGATTCAATATCAACTTGAAGAGGAAATACAAGTTAAGATTGTTTCTTTGAAAATATACTATTTCAATCAAATGTTTGAACAATTCTTTTATTTAATATTTTCTTCACATAGAATTGGTGCAAAATTATGGATAGCACCAGGTGACGATTTAGCTGTATCTCAGTTAGCTAATCTCTGGCGTTCAACATTATCTCGAAAAGGTTGTTTTACATTAATGCGAAGTGGTAAGACTGTTTTGTTGTTTTTGTAATGAAAGACATCAAATTTCTCATTGAAGGTGTCAATGGTGTTCTGCAATCAATGCTACTTTCCATTGGTGGTATACGTTTCCGTAACCATCATCTTGAAATGTATTTAGATCCCAAAGAACTTCATCGTGATATGTTTTTTCGTTCAATTAATTTCGGCAAACAATATCATGTGAATATAAGTATAACAGTAGGACATGATAATCGTGCTGTTATTGATGTATCAATGGACAGTGAAAATGCGCAAGCATATGCGTGTGATGCTGGCTGTTTAGATTCACCGACGAAACTTGGGTTTGTTGTGTTTCTTTTTATTAATAATTAGGCACGAGAAAGAACACTTGAAAATCTTGCACTTGTTGAGATTTTGTTTGAATTTGGTAGACAAGAGTAAATCCTTGAAATTAACAAGTATGCAAGCATCTATTTTAAGAAGAAAACAAAATTTAAATGCATAAAATACCTAGCATCGTCTGCATATGAAGTTACAACATTGCCATCTTTACATTCTATCTGGCAGCATGGGGTTTTTAATGATGACCACCATTGTTTACATAAGAAACACAGAAGTTTTCTCTGCAGCTATGCTTTCATGATCGCCTATCAAAAATTTCTCCGGGGAATTTCATGATAGCTAATCGAGTACTTTTTACTAGAAAAAAATATTTCGAACTCGATTGCCAATGTTTTGAATAGAAATTTTATATTATCATACAAAACACAGGTGGCCATTAAGATGTTTTTGAAGTTTTATCATGCATTAAACTTGTTGTTGTTTTCCGCCTTGCTCTATCAACTACAACAGATTGAATGAGAGCCTGCGGAGAATTCTGATTGATGGCATTAAAAACTTTGAGATGATTTCAAGATCGATTTCTTACGAGAGAGAAACTCAAATGTTATTTCAGCATCAGTTCGTTTATATAAAACATCTAGAATTTAAACTATTTTCTTGTTTTTGAAAATCATTTCTTTTGTTTCTCGCGTGACTACATATGATATGAGCTGACATCGAAAAAGAAAATGATCATAATTAAAAATATTTATTTTACTGAGTTGTTCATATTGTGAGCTTGACAGTTTTTTCAAATAGTTCTAAAGCTTCACATCGTGAGATACTAAATATTTGTTTGAAAAATAGTATTCGATTGGTATTGCCAGAGAAACATCAAGATCTATTCAATTGTGTACGCATGTTTTAATTTAAAAAAGAAATAGGTGCTGACTGTAATGAACGATGTTTTTGTTTTAATTCAAAGAAAGCCAACTATCATTTCAGATGGGAAAAGAATCCCCACTTTACTTTTCATTGAAGCCACATAGCTGATGATCTTTTTTTTCTACTGATTTGATGTTTACAAACATCGATTTCGTTGATCGGTTAAATAATATTTACATGATTACCGCACGGTTAATACTTCTAAACTTGTCTCATTCAGATTTTGTTTTGTTTTTAAAAAAATCAGGTTATGAATCTTATAATAATTATTATTATCTATATAGTATTCTACCTGTTCGATTTCCTGTAAAAATGACAAGTCCACCAACTGCGATACTTTATATAGCCGAAGATTTTGAATATATGACACAATTAAAAGATACGTTACATGTTAAAGAAGTTGAAATAGGTAAAACGGTTTTGCTTTGTATTTTTTTTTTCATTATTATGTTTTTTTTTCTATCTCTCTTCATTTAGCTCCACCTCATGCACACGATGTTCTTGCTCTTCATCGACATGGTCATAAACTTGGTGGCTTACCAATCATCTTCTGGATAGCTTTAGCATTTTTAATCATTATTTTTCATTTATTCTTAGTAAAAATCATTCTTAATGAAATGGGAGTTTTCACTCATAAATTACCAACATACACAAGAGCACGAGTCCTTTAAACATTGGATCTTATTTCTTCTTGAATACATTCGCATTTGTAATTAAGTCTTCTTTTTGTTTTTGTTCGGTTCGGTGTCTTTATGTTTGTTCTCAGTGTTATCGGTTAACTGTTTGACTTCTTTCAATGTTTTTTTGTTTTTTTTTCTACTTAAAACGATATAAGATAAGATTTACTTTTTTCAAGAAAGAAAGAAGAAAAGAAAATTCCTTCTTTTTTGGCTCTTAACAAACTAGTCTGAAAACGATGTTGATTGTCTGTCAAACTTCAACGGTTACGACTGGAAAAAAAGATTTTCATAGCGACAATTTCAATAAAACATGTTTCTTGCATTTATTTTACTTTTGATGACTCTCGACCATAATTTATGATAAAATAAAAGGAAAATATAAAAGAACTCCAGCCTGCCTAGCAGTAAGACATTCTCTTCACTCGTTTCGAATACTATTTTTTTTTGTCGTAACACAAGATTCAATTGATTACTGAGTTTTTTGATTTTGTTTCTTTCTCAACGTTTTATTATTTGATTCTTTCAATGTGGACTCTTTTGTGAGACACATCAATTTTGTATGAGACATGACTTTGACGTTTTGGTCTCTTTTATAACATCAAAAGTGTTTCAGTATTTCTTACGATAACAACAACATCGATACGAAACAGAAAATAAAACTTTTTGTAATTGTGTTTTGTTGTTGACGATAGAGAGAAAGCGGAGAAAGAAAAAATGAAAAAATGAAGCAAAAAAAAAATATCATATGATGAAATTCTCATCTTGAGGCCAATTTAAAAAGAAAATTACTTACTCTATTATTTTTCTAGTGATTTCTTAATGCTTTCATACGTTTTATATTCGATTAAGGTTTAATAGTATCAACAGCAAAAGTAACACCTATGAAAACAGCAAAGCCTTGGTCGAAAACAACTGAACCATTATCTTATGATCAAATTTATAGATATTTTGAACAGGCTCTGGAAGAATGTTTAGAATCCATAAATGAATTTGAAAATGATTATTATCAAGGAATAACATCATCCTTAACTCATGCACCTAAAATTCAATCATCGAAACGATCTGTATCTGTCAATGCGCTTATTGCATGGTCTCGTCCATTGAATGAATTACGAAATGCACGTTCGCTACACGATATTCGCAATGGCAAGACAATACGAGATCTACTTTCTGAAGCACGAGCAGGTACATTAGTTGAATCTATATCGGAAGATAGTTGTCATTTAATGCAGCAAATTCTTGATAAAACAAATGAACATCTTTATTCAAAAATACCAGTATTAACAAATAAAATAGCCGATTGTATGAATTTAATGCAGCAATATTTTCTATCATTTTATGATATTGAAAATATTCAAGATATTATACAGAAAAAGAAGAAAGAAAAATTGCCCGTAAGTATCGAATAAAAGTTTATCTAATTTTTCTTTTTGATCTATATTCACAAATGATAAATTTCAGGATATTTTTTTGTTTTTAATCATACATGATTCATCCAATAAAAGCTAATATATTCTAATATAGTTGAGTCTCTTATTATCATTGCGCATGAAAAGCAAGTCATCGAATTCTACGGGTAAAAAAATGTAACTCATTTGTGAATTTCAAGAGAAACCTTAGTTATGCAAGTGTATAAAAAACATGAAGTTCCGAACTGAAGCCATTCATAGGATGAGTTACAGTGAAAAATAAAAAATATTAGCTGTTTAATTAAAAACAGGTTCACACATTTATAGTAGATTGTAGATAAATGACAATTTTAGTATCCAATTTACGAATATTACACAATGAATCGCATTGAATGTGAGTTCAACAAATTATTTTGATTCCAAAAGGGTATATCAATATCTTGATTTAAAAACAGCAAATAGACACGCCTAGTAGTCAATGTGCAGTAACTGTTATTGTTTAGAAATGAAAAGCAAATAAGCTATGCCTAGAAGAAACATCAAAGATGTTTGACTTCATTTGAAAAGTTTTCGCTTACAATATTAATATTACACCTAGAGGTGTTGGCACTTTAGAAAATAAATTCTGAGTGTTTCTTTTTTCAACTCTGACAATATACTGCTGGCTTTTTAATGCGATTTCGACAGCTTTTATAATTATATATTAAAAGCAATAATTATTGAAATCAAAAGAATTTTTAGGAATGTCTACGCAAATATTATCTTCAATGGAGAAAAGTATATTTTGCATGTGCATGAATTTTCCTTTACTTTTTCTTTCTCTCTTGAACATATCTTTCAAACTGTTCAGCATTGCGTGCTGTCTTTGTGTTTCTTTAAATCTTGTTTTTTTTTCTTTTCCTCTATACTAACATTATGTTCATAGGATCAATATGTTGAAACAGCATATATATATGAAAAATCTCGTTGGTTACATATATTTCATGTAAATAAATCTTTGAAAATTTTACGAGAAATGCAACAACGTGTAGAAGATTCAAAAGGCATCGTACTATCCAGTCTATCGAGAGAATGTCAAGAATTAGCTGTTCGCTGTGATTGCACATCACTTTCATATGTTTTTGCATTGCCCGAAACTTATATCGAGGCTCGTCGAGCTGTCGTTGGTCTTCAAACTTGGTTACTTGAAGATAAAAAATATACATCATTTATTCAAACGTAAACACTCAATCATTTAAACTAAACAAAAAATAAATCGTTCTGTTTTTTCTTTAGATCGTTGAAAGTACTTGACGAAAAATATGCTGAAGCGAAAAAGATGTTCGAAATCGGCAAAGCCCATCTAAGTCAAGCTGAATACCGAGTATTTGAAAATAAACTTATTAATCGTACAACCAAAATTCTTTTTATTTATTTTTTCTTTAATAATAGACGGATTCGTTTCGAATACAGCTCAGTAAAGTTGAACAAGAAAATGAAACAAATGAAAAGAAACTCGATGAACTTGAAGCACGTTTAGAGACTAAAGAACGTGATTATCTATCTAAACGTTTAACATGTGAAGTATACGAAGATCAACTTAAAAAGATGCTTAAAGAAGCCGACAATAGAGAAGATACACTCAATAATCATTTATCAATTGAAAGATTTCAACAAGAAATACGACAATTTTCAAAAGAATTACCAAAATTAAAAGCACAAATGGATGCTTTACAAGGACGTCTCGAATTTTTCAAACAACGTAAACAAGAATTATTGGCATTGCGAGTTGAATGTAAAAAAATTGAACATGATCTACAGCTCGCATTGGAAGATAAAATTCTCAAAGAAAATGAGCTCAATCGTGTGATTAGCTGTCGTCAGACTATACGAAATATATACAAATGTCGCGCAACGAATGATTTACCACAAAAAATTTTCTATTCTTTACCTGTCAAATCTAAATTACCAGGTGAAAGTTCTAATGGTAAGTTTAAATAATAGAATGCATTGATTAGAAATAGTTTTGTTTTTTCGTCGGTCGATATTCTAAGAGTCGCCGTAGCTAATCGCAGAAATATTTTTATTTCAATTAATGACTTTTAGAAGAAAAAAAATTCTCTATTGAAATAGTTAAAAATATTAAAGCGAACGCAAGTCAAAATAAATTCACTAAAACTATGTTATATGATGGATTGAAAACGATATTTTTCTCGAAGAAATGTGAAAAATGACTTAATTTTGTTTTATTTTCGACTCAAATCTCTTTACCGTTCTAGAAGTCATCTTCTAATTGATATATATATATATATATATAATTAGTATTGAAATAATCAAATACACATGTGTTGCTCGATTGAGTTACATTCAATTTCTGTTGTTTTTCTTTCTTCCGATTCACAATATCTTCGATGATTGACAACCATCTATTGTTTGCGTAGAATTCGATTTCACTAATGATAAAATCATTTTTTTTGTTTTCTTCAGACGATCTTTCCAAAGCAATACGGATTGTAGCAAAATATATTGGGCGCGATTGGAGTCGACTATATTGGAATTTACCGTTTTATCCTATGCGTGGCAAAGAAGAAGTCTCAAAAGATATTAATTCTATTGATGATAAATATCACCGTGGCGATGTGTTTCGTGTTAATATCGATTTTGATGAATTTGATTTCTAATCAATCTCTATGTTTTCTTTCTATTTAGGATCAAGCAGTGGATTCATTAGGCAAATGGCGACGTTTTCATACGCGTGCAAAGCTCGACGATTTAATGCAAGCTCTTCGAAGTATAAATCGTCTAGATATTTTACAAATAATTGATCGACGAATAGTCAAGCCAAAACAGTCAATGAATGATAATCAGGAAGAAATAGATCCACGAAAGAAAGAAATCGAAGATCTAAATCGAAAATTGAACCGTTTGTTTGAGAAAATACACACAGGCGTTATAACAGTACATGACACGTATGTCTATTCAAAGATTGGTCTTGATCCGTTGCAACCGGTTAGGAAACACCGACCATTGGTCATGCACTGAGCCGCACTGACATAAGTCACTAACTAATTGGAATACACGTATAACACATATTTTGCACCTTATCGACGGACTATTTCTTCTTCTTTCGTATTTGCATACTTCTACGAACATACAAATATCAACATTTATAATTATTGCACCCACCCGAGATTGAACTCGATGTTTTTGTTTCCATTCGCACCGAATAATGATTTCCTTTACCAGCTTTGTTTTCGTTTTCTTTTTCTAGTTCATGAAACGCTCTACATTTGGCGGTAGTATGCGTGACCGTTCCTCCACAACAACATCGGTTAATTCTAAAAACTCTCCAAGACAGCGAAAAAGAAGCACAGGCACTTGATGGGCCATCAGAAATATAAATTATTATTTTTCTACTACTTTTTGCCTGGAATCAAGTGCTTTATTTAATTTATATATAATGCTTGTTCACATGATTTTCCTGAAAATAAATATTTTTTTCTTCATAATATGATTTCTCATGACAAAGAAAACAACAAACGAAAGAAGACATTGTGGCTATTGGATCAAGGAACCTCTTAGGCAAAATATTCAATTGAAAATCATAAGGTACAAAAAAACTTATTTTTCTAGTCAAAAATAGTGTAGTACAGATATTAACAATGATAACATATTATTTATGTTAATAAAACAGTTTGTACTGTTTAATCGTCACGCTTAAAATTGAGGGTTTTCATGTTCGTCGTCTTATTCTAAATGACATAGAATAATTTATGAATGGTTTGTTTCGAATTTTGCCTACAATCTTTTCATTTTATTTTGAACTCATCACAACACAAATAGAATTTACCTAGGAAAATCTAAAATAAAACGACAGCATAACTCCTATAAACCACCATAATCATGCTTATTGGCGTCTTTGAGGCGCACGAACCAATGATTACATCTTATAGATCGCAATAAACGCTCGTCGACATATAAAAGAAACGAATTTAAGAAAATTCGCATTCTCTCTAACTCTTTCTTCAATGTCACTATCACCACAAAGTAAACTATTCTTAATCAAAGAGAGCTGACTACTCTCATATATATATATATATATAGTGCCAGTGCCTTTATCTTTTTCTGGACTATACACATGTCTGCTGGCAATCATCAGTTTTGACACGTATTTGAATGGTCAAAATTACTTGTTATCCTATTTTCTCTTACACTAGACGCATATCTACGTATTACAGAATTTTTAGTAGTTACTATGATTTTGTCAACGGAAATATTCATCTAAGCGCGAGACTGCAGACTAGATGAGTCGTTAAGCATTTTCGTGATTGAAAGTTCAAACCGATGATTTGATTCTTCTTTTTGAGTGAAATAGAAAACTTGAACATCCATATCATGTGTGTGTGTGTATATGTAAGATATCGATTTATTGTAGCTGTATTGATTTAAATAAGTAAATTCAGATCGATATAATGTTTCAATCAAGATCAAGGACTTGGATGCTTTACGGATGATGATATGTTTATTAAATTCTCTAAAATGATCTGTATCTGGTAAAAAAAAGAAAATTTCTATGGTTGCTTTTATTTTTTATGCTTTTATCAATCATAAATAGTTTATAGGTTTTCCATTAAACGTAGTAAAAGTTGTCTACTGTACAAAATATCATGAATTTCTATATTGTGTACTTTGTTACTCGATTACGATTATATTTAGTTTCACCGAAGGACTTTTGAGTGTGTAAGTTAATGTGCAAAATCTTTAAGAATTTAATGTATTACTTTGAAATGGATTTGTTGTTTTTTTTATAATGTTACTATGGATCACAAAAAAAATAAAGTCTCACTAAAATTTGACTCGTACTATATTCATTCATAGATCAAACACGTTCATAAATGTACGCCTGTAGATAAATCAATAATCTATAATAATAAAAAAGAGAAATGTTCTTTAACTGCATAATTACAAGTAGTTATCTATTGAAGTTGATTCACATGAAAAATACTCAGACACTTGACATCAATTTTTCAGCAATGGAATAAAAATCAATACAATAAAAGATGTATAGTTCATCAGCATATTGTAATATTCTCTGTAAAAATCGCTCTCCTTTTTGATGACATGAATTTTGTTTTGCTCTCAGATTTTGTCATATATGAATATTATATCAGCAATTAATTGGAACCAAATTATCAATTCTATTCAGGTGTTTCGATGTTCCAAGTCAAGAAATTAAACGCCAACATAGCCAGACTTATATTTGTCAACAAACAATTGAGATCAAGCTATCAGTTTCTTTTACCGACGAAAGAAAAAATGTTTCATCCAATTCGTATTCATATAAATCATCAAATAAGAACAAAACAATCTCTTCATGCAGCTGTACGGAGTAAAATCAAATTCCCAACAAACATGAAGTTTTATTTATGATTGAAAGTTTATATCAAATTGTTGACATTGCTGATAATAAGACCAATACTTCACTCTTACGTCAAAATAGAACTATTGGATGTAACATTGAAAATATCAACCGAGCGTGACAATATATTATCAATGAATATATGTAACTGATCCAAGAATTCCTTGACCAAACAAATCATAATAAAAGATGATCGAATTCTTCGATCTACTTATAAATTACTCTCGGAAATTGAGAAACCTTTGAAATCGATCATAATAATTAAAATGTAAAAGAATAAAAACAACATAAAAATCTTTCATTGGTCTATGATCCGTTGAAGGATAGTGAACCAAAAGAATGACAACTGTACACCTTAAACAATAAATATGCGTTCTTTTCATTTTAAAATCTATTTATGTAGTAGTTGCTGTTTATCTTACATTAGATTGTCAAGTACGCTTACAAATGCTTCTTTCATTATTTTAACACATTTGAATAAAATTGATCTTGCATTATTGAAGTGATCTCTGCGTTATATCAATCAAACATATGCAACCTACAGATTCACTAATGCTTTCTCGATTATAATTTCTGGCCTTTTTCATCCATTATAAACATTTATCATGGCCGACCGTTAATTGAAGTCAACTGACAATGAAAATAGACGAAGAAAAAAATCATAGTAAGATGAGAAAAACAAAGTCTACTGAGAATAAATCTTTGACTGTAAAATTTATTTCTCGACTCTAATCAAGAGGGGGATAAGAAGGAAAAACTGGTGACAAGTCTCCAAACAAAAATTTGTCTTCGATGTGTAAATATTCATTGCTATTGCATGGATCTTTCTTCGTTTCTTTTTCAAGAAACCTTAACAAAACTCGTTTTTTGCTTTTCTCCAATAATCATAATACATGAACATGAAAGTATTGACCAATCGTCGTAGTAATGAAACAGTTATGTGTGCGTTATAATACTTGTCAATCTAATTAGTGAAAATCAAACTTCAATATTTCTCTAGGAAATTATATGGTATCACTTCTGTTTTTTTCTTCTTAACGGCAACTGGAAGAACCTTTTTTATGAGTATTAGACTATGGTCATGTTGATTTAACATCTGTTTATGTTTGCTTACTCCTTTTTCTAAATTGTGCTTCAATCACATCGTCAACGGAATTTTACTGTTGCCGTCGACGTACTCATACTAAAAAAAACAAATCGAACTGATTGAGAAAAAAAGAATCTACTCATTTTTCTTCTTTTCTTCTTTTTGTATCAGCTCATTTCTTCTTTTTCCTTTATATATTGTTCAAAAATATATTAAATCAAAAAAGATGACAAATACTCTGAAAAAAGACTATTTAAAAACTTTTGATTTGCCGCAAATTAATGGAAAATCAAATTTTTATATAAATCATGATGATGACGATGATGATCAAGATATTTATATATCAGAACGATCATCTATATCATCATCGAATGACATGCATACAACATCTAGTCAAAATGTTAAGCGATTACCAACACCCACGCCAACACCAACATCACTATTATCGTTAGCACAAAAACAATCTTATAATCATCGATATCATGGTAATGAATTTCCCGAAAGTGTTATGCCAACTATTGCTCAATACAAATTGTTACGTAAGGAAGAAAAGAAAAGGAAAAATACGCCTCCTAAAGGTCCACCACCCGGTCAAACAGCTGCAGCTTCATTTTATGAAACAAAATCACCTGAATTAAAAGAGGAGTATTGTCCTTATCGATGTTATTATAGAGTTAAAAATCCTGATTGGGCAACGACTCATCGGCAAGCATCCGACGCTCAACTTCTAATGAATGATTCGCTTGATTCTTCACAATATGCTCAACAACCTGTATTGATGACATCCCCTATTAAACCAAAACAACAGCCACGAAAATCTCGTGCTAATGGTGTGTCAACATTAAAAACGAATCAAGATAAACAACGTCATGATCAGAGTGGAAAAGCTTCACCATCATCATCATCATATTTAACATTTAATGAAAATCTTGAAAATCCTCATTACCATCACCATCACTATCATCATCATTATCAACAACAACAACAACAACAACATATAGCATTAGAAAATTCTGACAATGACGAATATCGAGAACAACTTCCGAAACGTACAATACCAAAACAACGTCGTAAATTGAAGATTGAACATGATTTGAATGATCATTATGTGCCTATGCATCCGAATAGATCACCTCGAACTTCAAATAATTTAATAATAACATCGAATTCTTTGACAAATCGATCAAAGAACCGATCAAAAATACCAGAGAAAAGTCCTGCAAATACTGATATTGAAGAAAATAGTAGACATCGTTCAACTAAGCCTCATCATCATTCTCCTCCTCCTCCTCCTCCTCATCATCATCATCAGAATCTTGCTCAATCACATATTTCTCCCTCGATCCCCTCACAGCAAAATTACCAACATCATCAACATCTTCATATTCGACGTCGTCCACCATCTGGTTCACATGTCACCAGTGAAATGTCAATGGTTGATAGTACAGTAAAGAAATCCGATAGACCAACTTATTTTCAACAACCACGAGATTCATTTCATTCACCAGCAACACCTGTGTACAATCAAAGTTCTTATTTACCACCTATCATACGTGATAATCATCATCATCAAAAAACAAATACAACTCGATTTCCTACGGAATATTATGGTACAATAGCTCGACAAACACATAGTAAAGATTGGGAGGAATCTATAGAAATTCCAAAAATTTATAAAAACGAACCACAAACACGATTTTATGATCGGTATTTAAATACTGTTGTAGACAAAAGACTAGCAGCTAATTGATTTTATTCGTCAAACAATTTATTATATATTTAATGTATTTTTGATAATAAAAAAAACAGCACATGAAAGATCATCCTAATCATTGATCAGGAGCATTTGATTATAGAAGAAGAAGAAGAAAAAATCCACATGTTACAAGCTGTCGTGTTTCGAAAATAAGAACTCGAATACCTTTAACCAGAAAGGATAAATGATCGCTTTTAAATTTATTCTTTGAGAAGGTTAACACGTTACATAGTACTTAACTGTTACGATTACTTCAATTTAAAAAAATTACTAAAAGCATGGCTGTACGGTTAAAATGTTTTAACGATCGATGTCAATACAGGCAAGAGGACATGCAATTTAAAATAGAAAGTGTATTTTTTCTGAGCACACACCTGTCTCATAGTTCGACAGATTAAATTTCAGGGAGAAAATGAAAGTCCAAAGTAAACGTTGTATTTATTCTATCGAATTTGGTAAGAACAGCAATTAATTTCGTTTATTTTTAAGTTTTCAAAGCGGATGCTACAAAAGTTCCTGCAATAATATCGTTTTATTTTTCATTGGTTCTAAAATATGCTGCGTAATAATTCAAGAAAAAACAAATATTCTGTATCATAATGATACTTGAGAGGATGATATGAATGATGATAGATGTGCAAATACAAAAACATTGTCACGATCTTCTCTCCTATTGAGATAAAACTGATGATCGATAAGAATATGTATATCTAGTCTTGATCTCCTGCTTTATAACTATACTTTTTTTCTCTTTGGTAGAAGAATATTTATAAAAACAAATAAAATACGCCTTTATGTAATCATACTTTTTTTCCATAGATTATAGCAATAATTGTATTACTAAAGCTGCACACTCAAAAAATATAGGACATTGAGTAAATTGAACATAAAAATCGATTCAATTTGCTGAAAGCAATATTCTCATGAGTTACTACTAATGCTTCAGATTTGACCTATTGAGCTTTATGAAAAAATAGGGTGCACATGTTACTTTCCAGCATACTTCTTTCCCAAATTAGAGGGCAGATGAGGTAAAAATTGAATAGAATTTCACGGAATAGAAAACAATAACTTACATTATTGGGATTATAGGACACATGTAACAAATGAAATTTTATAAAACATGTCATTTTTGACAGTATGTCATCAAGAAAAAGTATCCTTAGATGTTAACAAGACTAAACCTATGAAAATGTTGTCAACTTGAACAGCTGTAATCTACTGGACATTGTTGGTGTCGTTTTTGAATCTATTAATATCGATTTTTTATACGACAATTTCTCTTGCGACGATTGAAGCACGTATTTAGTTGGCATTAGACCAATGTCTATAGTTACACAAGTGGCTGCAATAACAACATCTAGATGGATATCATCGGCGCTAATTATGAGTCTGATAGTATGGATATTTTTCTGGAATATGTCAATGGGTTTTTTTTTTTATAAATTAAACGAATTATTCAACAGGCATAGGTTCTCATCCATAATTGGCGACCTTGACAACAATACTATCCGAAGCATCGCCGGTGCTGTTCTTTTCCTGTATGACTTGATTCATGCTATTGCATAAAATGTTCTAGTTGTTTGGATAGTCAAGTATTTATTTGTGTACTGCAAATTTGTGTCTATCGTATCGTTTGCGTTAGCAAAACAAAATTTATAAAGATGATCTGACACAATTCAATTTCTTTTAAAAAAAATCTCGACATCTAATATGTCATGGAAAACGTGCATATCAGGTATGAAATTACTTAGAATCGCCATAGAAAGAAAACTCAATAGGCTATATGCAACACCTTTCTTAAATAAGTTAACTGAGTCGATTGAGACTAACAAGAGTTGGAGAGCGAGAGTTACTGATGAAAATACTTCAGAAATATGACATATTCTTCATACACAGCTACTATAATAGAGGAACGATGGTATTAGAACTTGAAAAAATAAATGAAAAATAGAATTAAAGTCAGTCGATTGTAATAATAATCGTACGATTCTTTTCTTGTTGTTATTGATTAACACCTATCGATACTTGAATGTGTGTAAATGTTGATCGTCTCATTAGTCAGATCATCAACACATAACACAAAGAATGAAGGACATGATAGATAAAATCGAGAATTATTTGATTATCAGCCTTTTCTTTCGTGTAGTTATTTCAAAACATTCTCATAACATACATTATAGAGTTGCTCTCAGTTTACTTAGGTCAATCAAAACGTAGTTGCGGAGGTATTGATAATCCTTCTAAGGAGGGTTCGATAATCTGTTCCATATACAGTCTGATAGAGAAAAGAAAACTCCAATTTTCTATGCTATTTGATCTTATTCAGACAAATCCTATGATAATAAAATTTCTAGAAGGCTTGTTGTGATCGGACGTGTGCTGATTGTGCTATATCATATTCTGTGTTCCATACATGTAATATTTTTGTCATTCTTGAGGGTGTGGGCGTAGAACAATACATAACAACAAAATACCCACACCCACACCCTTTTTGGTTACTTTTTGGCAGTTAGTTTCAGATAAAGTTACTGTTATAACAAAAAAATAATAACACATCTGGAATCAACATCCAAGACTAAATGAGTTTACAAGCGCTTCTATTTCTTCAAATTTTTGATTTTTTCGAAAAATTTCCGTAGCACTCCTCAGGCTTCAGCCAAAAATGAATTTCATCCAAAACTAGTATAGACGATTGCAATTAGCGGAGAAGCTTATGAAATTTTACTTGAACGTGAAATGGTGAGTATCCGAATTGACAAAAGAAAGATTTTGACGAAATTTATTTTTTGCTGAAGCCTGCGTGAGTATACCACAGGGGAATTTTTCGAAAAAATAAAAAGTTTCACGAAGTAGAAACTCTTGTAAATTCATTTAGTCTTGGATATTGATTCCAGATGTGTTATTATTTTTTTGTTATAATAGTAACTGTATCTCGAAATAGCTGCCAAAAAGTAACCAAAAATGCAGAAATCCTCCCTTTTGAATAGTACCCATATGATTTCTCTGTTGGCCAAACTCGGTTGAAAATGGAAAGTATACGATATTGTAGCTCGTGAAAATTGCTATCGATCGGTAAATGAAGATCAACTTCAACGCTTCTTGATAAAGTTCTTTTAATCTAAAAGTGGAGTTTCAGCTAAAAAATTCCAATCGTCAGGAATTGGACCAATAGAATATAGTGAAAAGTTTATTGAATAAACTTGTTCTTACAGGAGTCCATGCAGAATTAAATCCTCTATCTAATGAGACTAATCTCATCTAGAAGTGGCATTGCTGTACAAAGTTATTACCATGATGTTGATCATGCGAATATCAATACTGACTAGAGTAGTATTCTTCACACTAAACAATCGAATCGATCTGAAATTGCTATAAAAGCACTAAGTGCACAATTCTACATCGGAATATACCAAATTTTAAACGATTTAAAATATAGGCCGATTTGGCTTGTTATGCGCCCTCCCTCGCCTTTCGTTTATGAATTATAATGTCATTTGTTTTTTTGTAGATATCACTGTATCATGTACTTATATAACACTAGAGTAAATTCATCAGGGACAACATGTTACTTTAATCAAAAGATTAACGATCCTTATTGTGCGTTTAAAGTATCGTTTTACGATATTTTAATCGTACATAATGCATTACGCGAGTAACTACGCAACATAGCAGTGCTATACACAATAAAACATATATATCATAAACGTTTGTTTATTAGCGGCATCTATAAACCATTATGTTTTATTAGTTAAAATCAAAGTCCATACTGGAGTTATCATGTCTTCAGCTAATGGATGAGAAGGGAAAAAAACAAATAGATCGAGCGGCTAGGCGAAATAAACAAGGCACGGCCACATGAAAATATGGAAATTTGATCTTAAAAGATTGTATCTCTAAGCAAACGTCTAGTTTACAGTTTTTCTTTAACAATGTTCTATTGAAAGAACGTCTTCATTCTAATTATTTCATTACATATATTTTTGCTTATTTGTTATTTCAATAGAATTTCTAAATGCCTTCAACATCAACAAGAAAACCGAATAGACTTGCAGTTAATAATCAAGGATTCTGTAGTGTATTCGGTATAAAAGCAACTATCATTATTGTTGGTTTTATTCTTTTGGTATCTGTTTTATCATTATTTTACTTATGTACTTGGACAATTATAACAAAACATAAATATGCATTACTTGCTTCCGCATATCTATATGCCATATCAACTTATTCATTATTAATATCTGCTTCGATTACATGTATAGCCATTGTTGCTCTTTTTATAACTGCATGGATTGAACATGCTAAAGGATTAAAAATAGTAAGAAAAGAAAAATTCACAGGAAAATTATTTTCATCAGATGCCGCTGTTTTAGACACTTTTCATATTGATCTTAACATTTATCTTTGAAATAACTGCTGGACTTGTAGCTTTTGGTTATACAGTTAATGTAAGTAGAAATTCACATAAAAATTTCGAAAGAAAATTTTTTTTATATTGAAGCTTGATGAACGTTTATCAAAAAATTTACTTGAAACTATTCAAAATAAATATCATTATGTCAAAGGAAAAACAAAAACATTCGATCAAATGCAAAGACGTGTATGTTAATTTAATTCAGGTTTTTCTTGTTTTGATAAGTCATTTGATTTGGTTATAGTTTCGATGTTGTGGCTCCAAATCATTTAAAGTAAATTGAAGAGAATATTTATTTTTCGTCCTCAACTATAATCTATTCATGTTCTCAACAAAAAGGACTGGCAATTAAATTCGAATTTTAATCTCTCGATGGCATCAGCAGTACCTGATAGTTGTTGTAAATCATATGAACCGAAATGTGCTCAAAAACCATATGGAAAACATCCATCAAATATTTTTTATGAGGTATTTAAAATCAGCATTATGATTTCCCAAGACATCGAGGCGTTATCTGTGAGATAAATCTATTAAATGATCAATCACTATTTAGTGTCGACTATAGATCTTCTAAACGAGTGTTGAGTATTCTGAAAAGATTTCTGATCTTTAACTGCAATTTCGCTTAGCTACTATCCTCATATGTATGATATAATATCAAATTTGATGTTATACTGTGCTAGAAATATGAAATGGAAATGATTTTTACCTTAACTGAATCATAGAATTAGGAACAATATCAATATGATTTGTTCTTCAAAGAGACTATTCTTGCCAAAGATCGTCTTTTTTCACCAAAACTGTAAGCCAATATTGAAAAATAACATGTTTCTGACGTCCATGAAGGGTAACCATGACCACGGGCATTCATTTAATAAAACATTACTTAAGTGCAGTACTTTTACAACAATATGCTAAGGAATTGAATCATTTTAAAAATACGCTTTTACGTTCATATTATGTACTTGATCTCGAATCAACGAGTGATTCGTTAGTTGATAAATTATCACTTTGAGACCAAATTTAAAGGCCTGATTATGGAGATTTCTCAGTTCTGATGAACATTTTTCGAATTTCCTTCATAACTGAACTGTTTCAATGAAAAATTTGTTATAGAAAAATATCAATAAAAATTACGAGTAATCTTGTTATATTAGCAACACTGGAAATTACAGTTCTCAACACAGTCTAACAGTGAGACCGACTTATTGAAAGTATTTCATAAGGTAACTTTTTTACCTTCAAAATGCTTTGAAGTGCAATAAAAAAATTATTTAAATGTAAAATAAACACCGATTACTTTTAAGCTATTGCAAGTTTATGGTTTTGTTTATTAAAATGGATGTTGAAAATATATAGTAGTTGTATCATCATGGTTTGTTTTCTCGCATAATCATTACGAATGACTTATGATATTGCGAAAGATTTCTTTTATCTATTCTTAATCAATGTACGCAAAATTTATTATAACTTTATTTGTATAGATTTTGCTTTTGCAAATGGAAATAATTTTAAGTAATCTGTTTTCTTTAAGAATTGCTAGAGATTAGAAATCTTCAATATAAATTAATTATTGCAAAATAGTTACGAAATTTTATTCTATTATTCATAGGGTTGCTCATTGGCGCTTTATCGTTTTTATCACCCGCATTTAATCACACTCGGTTGTGTGACAGTTGGTGTCTCTTTTCTACAGGTAAACTTTGAGTTTTTGACATAAGTTATACTATATTGATTTGTTTTCTTTTTTTTTTAAAAGATATTTACAATAATTTTACTTGTTTGGTTAATAAGCCACGTTGAAAAAATAATGTTGTTTAATCATCCAGTTGCACCTCCGGCAAAAGCTCGTCGTCTATCGAATGAAATCACATATTATCCAATACAGTCATCGCAACCAGTCAAATAGAATTTCAACTCACTACAATGAATGCATGCAATCTCACGTCCATTTTATTCAGATATATCACATTCACTTTCTGTTTTTTTTCGTTTTTATAATCTATGTATTTGTGAACAATAATAGTTTTTTAGAATTCGAATTTTTTGCATGAAACTTTATTGAAATAAATTTTCTTTTTTCTAGATTTGTTGTAACTTGAAGATTCTTTGTATATAAATCAATAATCTTTGTTTTCATGCTTATCGACGACGAAGTAGCATTACGAGAATGGCTCGTTGCAACACTCGAACCATTGTATGTTCTATTAGTGAGGTTGTTTTATTTGATAGTAATCTATTGATTATTTTAAGATGTGATGCTGAACCGATCGCCTTAGCTCGTTATGTTTTAGCTCTCGTTGCCAAAGATAAACCACTAGATAAACTACGTGAAAATTGTATTGATCGACTCGAAGTTTTTCTTGATCGAGGTTTGTAAATTAATAATAAAAATAAATAAATAAAAATAAGATTTTTGATTTTTAGCAACGAAAGATTTTGTTGATCAATTATTTGATGTGATTAGAAATGGTCGTTATATTCCGGAAGCAAAAAAAGTTTGTTTATAAAATCATATTGATTGTTTTACATAGTTTTTCCTTTTTTTTCTATTTTAATAGGAAAATGTTCAACCAAAAGCAAGTGAAACTCATGAAGATAAATCAGGTGATACATCTGAATTGATAGAACCTCAAGGCTCAACATCACCAACAAAACAAGAAAATGAACAACAACAGCCACAGCAAATTCCAACAACATCACAAGCTACATCATCATCAGACTATTCAACAACTATTCAACAGCAATCATCTGGAGTAATAATTCAACCTGTGAAACGACGTTATTCGTATCGTCCATCGTCCAATCGTCATCATTCACCAAATCCTCGTCGTCATGTGAATACAAGTAGTGGTGGTGCTAATCGCCATCAAACATCATCTCATTATCGTCCAACAACAAATTCAAATAATCAACGCTCGCATCGTTCATCATCCCGTTCTCGTTCGATATCGCCACCACCAGCTAAACGTACACAGCGTTCCTATTCACATTCATCCACCGGTTCATCATCACGTTCATCGCCATCACGTCAAACAAGTACAAGTCATCAACCACCATCAACAACAGCAAATACAAATTTTTTATTCAAAAAGATTCCATGTACTGATTTTTTTGAAAATAAAGGCTATTGTGCTCTCGGAGATTCATGCCCATATGATCATGGTACTAATGCTGTTGTTTTTGAACAACAACACCAACAACAAAAGCAGCAGCAGCAGCAGCAACAACAACAACAACAACAGCAGCAACAACAGCATCAGCATCAGCAACAGCAACATCAACAGCAGCAGCAACAACAAGCCTATTATCCATCGTATCAACAATATGGTATGCCACCACCTCATCTTCATCCACACTATCAAGAATATAATCCTGAAGCTCCTGATTTAAAACATGGACCACATCCAGTTCCACCAATGTTTATGAGGCATCCGATGCATCATCATCCACGTATGCAAGGACCACCATTACCACAACAAGGACAACCACAACTGTCTCAACAACAGATGATGATGAATCCTCAACGTACACTTGTCACTGTTGTTACTAATGCGGAACCATTACCACTTGAACAAAAAATGCGACAAAATGATCCAAGTATATTTTTCATCTAGTATAAAACAGTTTTGTTTTTAATCACTTTTTATTTTTAGTGGGTATGCAACTTTGCCCTATTCCCCCGCCGATTCATAACAAACGACATATTTCTACTGGCGCGTATCCTATGGAACGGCGAACACAACAACAACACCATGAACATTCATCGAATAATGATTCCAATTCTAATACTGCTAATAACAATAACAATAATAATAATAATAATAATAATAATAATAATAATAATAATAATAGTAGTAGTAGTAGTAGTCATCCAAGCAACAATAACAACAACAACAACAACAACAATAATAATAATGGATATGTAAATCGAGGATGGAAACGTCCATGTATGTTTTTCTTTGTCTTATAGGTTTGTGAATGTTGTATTTGATCTTTTTTTCTTTAAATATAAAGGGCAAAAACCTGATGGGTCAGGATCCGCACCAGCTACACTTGAAATACGAAAAATTCCCGCTGAATTTAATACCATTTCAAAATTAAATGAACATTTTAGTAAATTTGGTACAGTAACAAACGTTCAGGTATGTGTCCGACTACTTTCTTTATTGTATATATATATATGTATAAAAAAATTAACATCTTTATTTATTTATTTTTATTAGATTGCTTATGATGGATCGTCTGATTCAGCTCTTGTTGCCTATGCAACATTGCATGAAGCTGAAACAGCATATAAAAATCCTCAACCATTGTTTAATAATCGTTTCATTAAAATATTTTGGCATAACAGTAATAAGGTAGGTTTTATTCTCAAAAAAAAAATGAGATTATCAACGTATAATACTCTTATGAAATGGACTCGGCTTATTTTGACTTTTTAAAAGCTAATCTAAAAGACTTGATGAGAAATTAGAAAGTATCTGAATACAACAAAATGTCTCGTTCATCGTTGTTATAAATTAACACACTTATAAAATAAAACAACTACTACAGTCTTTTCAATAAAATCATATTTTGAAGTTGCGTTAAAACGAGAACATTATTTATTTAACATTTCAACAAAATGTAAATATTAGTTTGTTAGAATTTATTATGAAAAGAAATTTATTATGAATTTCGTTTTCTGAAAGATAAAATCAGCGATGTCTATGACATCTAGCTCTATTCGACTATAAGACAAGTGTATATTGACGAAATTTCTTCAGTCCTATTTTTGATATATCATAAAACTAAAACTTCAAATTCAGGTACAATCTTCTGGTAACAATAATAACAATTCTAATCAACCAGCACAACAACAAAAACCATCATCAACAGATGGCTCATCAACCAAAAAACCGACAAGCAATGCTCCTAACCCAATGAAGGTTCATTGGATGAAAATGCAACAATTATCAGGAAATAAATCTGAACAAAGTACAGCACCAACTAGTAAATCTGAAGAAACAAAAACTGTAAGAAATTTATTTTATTATTACTTTTTTACATAAAGATTGTTTTTTGTCCTGTATGTTTTTCAGACTCCTTCATCAACTCCAACAACAGTTGCCAATGTACCACCAACAAATAAGTCAACGATCGTACCAACATCTAAAAAACCGACGATCGTCTCAGCGACTATGACGAAAAAAGATGCAGCCAAAAAAGCAACTATGGAAATTCATCGTAAAAAACAAGGTTTATTAGAAGAACAAATTCAACAACAGAAAACACTTTTAAAGAAACTCGAAACAGCTGAAACACACGCTGAAAAAGAATCAATACGTGCATTAATGAAACAAATTAATTCTACAATCATTAAGATTAAAGATTCACTTAGCATAACACCACCAATTAAAGCATCATCAACAACAGTACCAGCAAAGTCAACAACAACAACAGCACCCCCTGCAACCAAAATTAGTCAACAAGATGTACTTAAACAACGTGCGCAAATTTTACAAAAGCAACTTGAATCTCTTCGAGCTAAAACATCAGCAGATATGGTAAGCACTTTCAAAATCAGTCTTAGCCATTAATTGTCTTGCATTTGTTTTCTTTTAGCGTCGTGCAATGAGTAATACATTAGGTCAACCATCATTAAATTTCGCTCATGTTCTTAATGATAATGATTCTACAATAAAATCTTCATCAGATAGTATATCAAAATTGATTGAACAAACACAATCACAAATTACTATAAAAAATGTTAAAGACTTGCCAAAAAATGAATTAGAAGAATTTCTTAAGGTTTTTATCCACTTAGAAAAAACAATTTTTTTTGTGAAAGACAATTGAAAAAAAAAGGAAAGAGGTGTCGGAGTATATAGGATGACGCTTTGCGTTTATAGATTTGAGTTATTGAAATATCGTACATCAATAATATTTCGCTTTTATACATAGTCTACGTACCTCCTTGTTGCATCTCTGGAGAATTAATTATATTTTGGGAAAAAAATGAGTTCCACAATACATAAAATAACACAATTTGTTTATTTTGATGACTACGAATTAGCTCAGACGTTGGATTCGACTTGGAAGTTAATTGATACTTTAATACATTTAGGTAGATTTATGAAAGTAGTCAATAAATAGCTAAAATCTTGATTTTAGTTTACCCAGACAGAAACGATCAGGTATAGCTAGAAATTTTGTGAATCTAGTTCTATAGTCTCGCGCATTCTACAGAACTCTATTAGCAACGATAGTTTAATTGTGTTTCACATTTTAATACCGTATAATCATCGTACTCTCACGTTGCTTTTCTGTTTATAGAAATCTGGTGCTTCCAAAATTCAGTCGAATGATAATGATGATTCATTACTTGTTATATATCCTACAAAATCTGATGTCGATAAAGTAGGAATTACGATTTTGTTTTTCTACTTATCATTATCGACTTTTTTCTAGGTTCAAAAAGATGGATTAAAATTTAATGATCGTACTCTTGATATATCTTTAAATGAAGATTCATCGTTGAATACCAGTGGTAAAAAACGAACTCTATCTGAAACAATGGAAGACGAACTACTCGGAGCAACATCTACTGAAACAACGAACAATGATGATGATGATGATGATGGTGGTGATGGTGATGATGATGATAATAATGAACCAGAAGCAAAACGAAGACCTCAAAATCAAACCAGTGATACTGAAGATAATGAAGAAGTAAATTATTTTTTTGAAGTTTTAATTATTTTGTCATGTAAACTTGTTTCTGTATATTTAAATAGGTTGATGAATATGGTGATGAAGAAGAACGTTTATTAGCCGAAAGTGGAAAATTAACCGATGACAAACAAATTAAACATCGAAATATTTCATTGGATAATAATGATGAATCCAATCAACAATATGAATTCGAACCCAATGATCTTGTCGATGAAATACAACTACTCGATTCTTGACACAGTATTTGTTTATCTTTTCTTTTCAATAGGAATAAAAACCTTTGAACGTTTATTGAAAAAATACAGTTGGTGTCATTTGTGTGTGCGTGTGACATTTTGTTTTGCTTTTTTTCTTTTTCGGCGTGTGCATGTTTCTCTTTCTCTTTACTTTTTTTTGTCTATTTCGCGCCTCTATAGTTATTTGTTTCGTTTATTTGTTCCATTTGACTTTGTTATATGTCGTAAACATACATAAACACATACGCGTATCGCATAGTCCCACCAAACTAACAAGAAAAAAACAACATATTATACAGAATAAAAAAAATCTAGCTAAATATTTCATTTGAACACCGATATTTTATGGTGTTCAGTTAACGACATCAATCTTTGTTTTTTGAATTTATCTGCCTATACATTAAAAGTATATAAAAATATTTTAGCGATGAGGGAAGAAATCCAACATAGATGTGTTCGCTATACTTAAATCATCGATCATCGAAAGGTCATCTGACAAAATATTAGTTTATCGTACAATTGTTTTTTGGAGATTGAGCAGAGACAGACGAATACGAATCAGTGCTCGAAAGCAAAATCTTTACTAGCCTAATTTAGAGTTCGAAATAATATCTAGTCGTTTTTTTAAATATACTTTGAACATTTCTCTTGAACTTCTGATTATCAATTTTGTTGATACTTTAGGTTTAAGTTTGGACTGAGAAAATCAAGGTTTACTTGTCACAATAGTCTCGTATGATGTACAAATTACATTAATGAGTCTTTCTTTTTCAATAGATTTCTACAACCAGTATTGTTCTATACAAGAACTAAGGATTTTTGGGAATCGTCGAACTTAATAATTTGAGTTTCATTCAAACTCGTTGCAGTATTTCTGTCATAGTAAAAGTAATACTTCGCTGTATTGACAACTATGATAATTCCAAAGATTATTGGATGGTGAATATTCCGAAAAGAAAACTTGCGAGCGTGTAATTATCAATCTTGTTTTAATGATAAGAAAAAAACTAAAATTCTAATTGAGAAGAATTTTTAATAGTTCAATTCAAATTTAATGAGATAAATTTTCTACTGTTCACCATAAATATTTAATAATCAAGGTTCACTGAACATATGAACAGTCTTCTTCATGCTTTTTATGAGGATGTGTTAGTGTATCAATTTTAGTCCAGAACAATAAGAAATATCATGATACTAAACTTGGGACGAAGACATTTCGTACTAGATGTCCCGGACAACCGGCAATCCATTCAGGTGTTCGGAATTGATGCTTACCGGGAGTACAAGACCCATGTTGGTCAGGATATCGTAATAAAAAAAATACACGGAAATCAGAATGAAAATAACCAGGTGTCCATAAACTCATTTTACCTGGAGATCGTAAGTATATTATAATACTTATAGAGTGCACTATCTTAAAAAGAATGGAAATACTTTATAATTAAAAATCTCCGCTTGCAAATGTTATTGGTTAGACGATTAATTCACGAAAGAAGCGAAAGGAAAGAAATCAATCAACAAATGGTAAAGCAATGAAAGCTAAAACTCGCGGTACAACAAATAAACGGATGAAAAAATAACAGTCAGCTTCTTTGAACATCTCACTCCTTTTCTTATGATAGAAATCCCTGTTCTTTTTTATGATTTTGTTCTGTTTCTTATCTTTAAATGCAAGCTACTGAGTCATTTGAAATCCCGCAAAAAAATGTACACATGAACATAGTTATGAACATTCTGCCTCTTTTCATTACGATCTTCTGGTCATTTTCATCCCGAACTCCACGCAAATTTCAGATTTTTTTTCAAAAACAAATACTGTTGTCCGTTACGGTTTATTGAACAACTTTCATTTCGAGCACCCTGCTTGTTTTAAATTTTTATCATGCCGAAGATCATGTATGTTTTTATATGTCGAGGAATCGTAATGAAAAGTTGGTGCGAAATGTCTCTTTCCCCTAAACTTGATTCACTGGATAGAATTGGTTGCATGAGTTTTCTACTTTCGATATTTATTTGCATGCATCAATACACACTTGTTTTTCGACATTAAGTGATCAAATGAAATATATGTTCAACACATGCATGTTGATTGTATCTATATATCAAAACTAGACGACACGAATTTTGTTCTTCTACGAACAGCTATTAATATGTATACATTACAAACTGATCATTATCAGTTTGTCAAAAGCACATTGTCATGTAATAAGTTCTTTTGTTGTAATATACAATGTATTAAAAAGAAATGTTTCATTTCTATTGAAAAGAGCGTAACTTCTCCGCCGCATCGATATTGATCTCTTTTGATGCGCTCTATAACTCATTACAGGCCTTGTTACTTTATATTGCTCATTACTCAAGCTTTAGGTCATAGTGATGTGTTTTTTTGCTTGTGATGATCATCATGCTATAATAGTCAGTATTTAATCATAGATACTACGTACGATCGAATGGACAAAATATGACACCTTTTTTTCCTTGATTGTTTCGATGGTGATTGATCATTATTAGAACAACACTTCATGCGTGACTCTTTTTGTTTTAGATCAATGAAGATATAGAAATAGAAGTGATGATTTCTATTAAAATCATCATCTAGTTGTCTTTAAAATATATAAGATTAAATTCATAGGAAATTAGAAAAATAAATTTGTGTTTGAATTTCTTCTTCATTTTTTTGTCATTGATTAGAATGAAACTGAAGATTTATGAACATATTTTTCCTGATCATTCAAGCGTTAAAAAGTTGTTGCCAACTTAAGTGAGATCGATATGAAAATAATAAAAAACACTTCTTTCTTTCGACTAGACACGATGTGAACCAAATCATTATATCAACATTGTAATAGGTTATTTTTAACTTTGAAAAGCCTTCAGCTTATTATTGATAGCTATAAAAAAAAACAACGTGCGCATTGACCTTCGAAGAAAATCATTCATTAATTTTCGAATACATAGAAACTCTTCACATGCCTTTGCTTATGTATTAATTCTACCTAATGTGTTTGTCAAAAATGTGCTTTTCTAACAATAATTGATAATACTTAATCTAAAAAGCATTTTACGATGAAGCTATTGTCTTCTTCTTCTGCTGTTTTTTTTATTGAATACAAGGTTAACTGACCGAAAATCATTTGCATGTGAATTTATTCGTCACATTTTGTTAAAACCACTATCAAACCGATGTGAGCAATACGACAATAGATAGTTGACCATTATTCATAATGATAATAATAGGGATTCATACATGCAATTTATTTATGTTTTTATATAGGGCAGTAATTAATTTGCATAAAGCAAAGTAAAATTATTAGTTATGCTTCTAAAAGATAGCCCATATTTAATATATTTACACACATTTTTACTAGTGTTAATGAAAAGTTTTAATATATAAATAATACTTCTGTGTAATCAAGAAAATGATTGAATTGAACTTAGTGCGCTTCTATAAAAAAAAACTCATGCGGCTTATTGAAATTGTATCTGTTTATTTTCTACTTCAAATGAAACTTTTTAAGTTAACTAGTGACCGAGGCAAATATGTATGTAAATTTGAAATAAAACCAAATGAAAGGTCAGTAGGCAATCTGGCAATGAGCCATGCTGAACACAATGAAAACGAAAGGATAAGAGAAAGAAAAATCGATAAGATCGTTGTTACCGCCTTACAATGACACTCTCACTATTCTCATTCATACGTTTGCCACATAGCCATCTTCTCTCGATGGATTTGGTTGAATAAACACAAAACATCGCATACCATCTATTGTGTCTAGTAAGTAGTGATGATACGCACACTGCATTTTTTCCTCTTCTTCTTCGTCTCCATCTCCTTCGCATTAATATTTTCTCTTATCAATCGATAGAAAACAAATGTCCGGATCGACTTGATTTTGTGAATTTCTGAATATTTTCAAATAACAATAGTTATGTTTTATCCAACAACAGAATATGCTTACATTGATGAAAATGGTCAAACTGTCGAGCCGTCAAGATTTACTCAACATGTCTATCCTGATAGTAGCGAACCAGCAGCTTCTCATTTAATTTTGGATGAAAATAGTCCTGATAATAATCAACAACAAATACAGTATCGTCCTATTGTTATTGATGGTTCTCAACCATTGTAAGTTTTTCACATTTATACATATATTTGTATGAAAATACGTTAGTAAAGAAAATTTTATGAGTAAAATCAAAAAATTGTTATAATTTTGATACGCACGCACATTTTATCTGATTGATGAGGCGTACGTGCAAATTATTCAATGGGATAATTTAATACTGCTTTTTTGATTTATAAACTTAATGAAAGATCGAATCGATTTAAAACTATAATAATCATATACTTGTTATTTGTACAGATTTTTCTCGAGGCTATTTATTTTTTCATCATCAACCATGCATATCAAAATATATTTAATTAGTCAAAACTATAAATTAGAAGGTTTGATTGTGAGAAAATATAGTTTTGATAAGAATATATTAAGATAATATTCGATTTATTTCTATGAATTATTCTATAATTATTATTTTTAGAGCCAAATGTAGTGTACTCTACTTGGGAACAGCTATTTCTTCACCAGGCCAACGAGGTATCGATGCTATACAAGAACCATTATCTCGACGATATCCAGTCGATGGTAAAGAAGTAGTTCGAGGTATATAAGATAATATAAACACCCAACAACAAAAAAAAAAACACATCCTCCATAAATTTTATTTTTAATTACAAGGTATTGAAGCATGGTTATCTATATATGATAATGGTTTACAATTGCAATTTGCTCGTGATCCATCTGTTGTTTTATTTTATCCGATTCGTTCTCTTGTTTACTGTGCTAGTATTCGTTTTGCAACTCGAACACAAACAGGTGCTGAATTTCCGAATGGTTGGCGTTTCGTACCATTGGATTCGCCAGCTGCCGCTCGTGTAGAAAATACACGAAATCCACCATTATTTGCTGTAACATTTCGACGTACACGTCATTTGCCTGTTGATGAATGTCATAGTTTTGTTACTAAAACAAGACAAGCTGCATTGGCACTTGTTCAAGCTTGTTTTAGTGCTTATCAAGCAACTACATCACAACAAGATTGTTCAAAAGTACCACTTTATTTCAAAGTAAAAAACGAAATGAAATCAGTAGTATATTACAACTTTGATGATTTCTTTGATTCTATAGGTTGATGATTATGGATCAAAGAATCAAGAAATCGATAATGAGATTCGTATTGTACCAGCACCAGATCGTGAACGAACATTAGATTATCAGACAAATAAAGAAGGTGCTGGTTTTTACTATAAAACCGATCGAGTACCTATCGATACATGGCAACTATGGGAACATCATAAACATGATGTCGATCGATCAACAAAGAAAAGTTATCATTCAACGTCAAGATGTAAATGATTGATTGTTTATCAGACAATAATTTTTATTTTAAAATTCTTTCTTTTTTTTCCAGCTCTTTCATGTAGTTCAAGTCACTCAAGAGGATCATCTTCACTTGCATCATGCTCATCATCTAGTTCTTCATGTTCGTCATGTCAACATAATCGTCGAAGTCGTCGCCGTCATCGCCGTCGACGACGACTGGCATCGATAGCATCAATTTCTGCTGCTCAACAACAACAACAACAACAACAACAACAACAACAGCAATTTTTTCCTCCGTCTGAATCTCAAACTGTATCAATAAATACGGTTCCTAGTTCCATGACAACAGCTTCTGCTCAACAAACAGCACAATCATCAGTTGATCCATATGCTCCAGCACCTAATTTAATTCGTGTCGAACGTATAAAAGATGTGAATACAGGTCAAGATGTTTTTATTCGATGGGTCAGTGATGCCACTGCAACAACAGGAACACATGATGATCAACAAATATCTGTTCCACAACAAGTTTATTCTACTCAGCCACCAAATAGTTCGACAATCAATTATGACTATCAAATAGATCGAGACGTACCAAATGAAATTGAACGTTTAACACTGCATGATGAGCATTTAAGGCGATCTCTCTTAACAAATGATAGATCAGCATCAACATTCTCAAATCATGAACAGAAAAAACATAAGAAACGATCGAAACAAGAAAGATATCGTGGCATGGATAATCAAGAAGTTGACTATGAAGTTGTTAGTGGCTTTTTTGAAGATCGTAATGGAAAACGACGTCCTGTTAAACTTGATCGTTCTCGTATAAATACAGTTAAAGATTATCGACATTTATATAACGATGCAGTAAATTCATCTTCACCAAACACTGATCGTCGTCGTAAACATCGTGCAAAATCATTGGCTCGATCGCCCATTGACGAACAGCAGCAGCAACAATTTATTACGCCAAATTTTCCTTTGACTAATCAACCATTCATGAGACCGTTCGGTACATCATATCTTCCATTTAACACACCTTTTTTTCCAAAACAACCATTCAGTACAGCACCATTATTTTCTCGACCAAATTTTATCAATCGCCTACCACTTCCGCATCCATCATTGTGGTATCGGCCCATGTAGTAGTTTTTTTTTAGTGTTTTTTCTTCTTCAAATATTGTTATGCTTTTTTTCTAAATTTTATGAAAAAGAATGTTGCTGTTACTCAGTTGTATGAAAATTAAGCCAAATTTTTGAAATAAAATTATTTATCATCTGACAAAACCAAAACGGTTGAGCTTAATTTTTCATTTGTTCTGTTACAGTCTTTTTTTTTAGATAAATGATTTTCTAAATACAAGTTTTTGTATATTAGAGCAGGTTAAACACTTGTGCTGCTTACTGATACTCTACAATTTATCAATTAGTTTTGTAACAATAACTAGTAGTTTGAAACGTACTAAACATAATGGAAATATTTTGACACATAAATGTTAGTTACATTGAAAGAGAAGAGTTCATCAACATGAATATGTTTTACATGTGAAGTTTGATAGCAGACAATGATCATTTGCTGAAAGTTTCAAGTTGACCTACAAGATTTCTAATATTATAATCAAAACAACATTTTGTAGTCGACGTACGTATTGTTACGCTTGTCGTTAATGGCAATTTATTATTATCATCGGTTGCTATGACCTTAATAGACTATAAACTGCAATTTATGATTGTTGACAACAATTGCCACAAACTTGGTATCGATTGGTATACTAAGGAGCATCCTTTATCTTACTGGTATAACAGGCACACACTACGAATAATTTGACATAGAATTTATAAGTTTTCGATTGATTTTTTTCTTGCAAGTTCATACATTCTTTGCCATATTGTCTTGTACGGTTGAATACCGAGCTTGAACTTATCTTTCAAGTGCTTTGTAATGGACTTGCCTCTTCATAGGATCGACCGCCTTCAAGTTATTGTTGTTGATTGTCGTTTGGAATGAACGAATTTTAAGATCTATGAAGATCGTTTTCCAGAAATTATCAAATTAAACTTAGGATTGATAGTCAACTAATTCTTATTTTATTCGTATGAATTAAATGGATTGTTGAAAGAAAAATGCGATACATTTCAGGAAGATTCATATTATTTCTTGTTTCTCCATTAGAATTTGATTATCGCGTAATACTTTTCTCTGGTTTTAATTGATAGTTGCTTGTTTCTATTATTATTCATTTAAGTACGCTTCACAAAAAGAAATCGAGTGATGTTTCAATTTCTAAGCTGAGCATTTCTGAATCGTTACTGAAATGCACAGATCCAAGAACAATGCACATCATGAAATAACAAGTAACGCGACGTAAGCGTCGCTAATCCTCTACTGAAATGGGTGACCATGTTTGATAAATAATAAACAATCATACAAGTTTTGGCGTAAGAATTCAACAATGCTATTTTCCATGTCTTTCTGTAGTGATCAGTGTATCCAACGTATTATTAGTTCGAGAGAGTTTTTAATATTTAATTTGATTCTTTTAATAAACCAAAGGTTCATGAGAAGTCGGGTGTGGGGTTTTGAAATGTTCGGATTGAAACCTATGAATAAGAATACCGTTTGAATTAGATTTTATCCTTACAAGGGATCCAAATGTGAAATTATTGCTAAACAATAACATCTCAGGTACCTCTTTGTAGGGAAAGACTGTAATGTAGCATCTCATAAGAGATACTGAACGAGAAAAACGATTTGAAAAATTACATGAGAGTTACTTAAAGATATTATGTCCGCAACCTCTGAATACAAACTTGAAAGTTAAAATCCGAAGACTCATAGTTTGTCCACCATGAAATTGTTATAAAGTCAATAATAAAAGTTTGATAAACGAAATCAATGTGTTGTATCAAGATGAGAAAACTTTCTTAGTTAAATTCAAGTAGATGAGTCAGAGAGCGACTGTTTACAGCACAGATTTCCATGAAAACAGTGTTTTTTGACTTTATTGAAAATGATGTGTTAATCTCGCTCATAACACCGTTTCGCTTTTCTTTTTATAAATTTCCTTTGAGCAAAATTCTGCAAAAGCTAAGATTCAGAATGCACTATCTCTACGAGAAAGAACTGAGCGAGTCCACAGGCGAGTGTTACTTGTAATCATATAAATATTTCACTTTTCAAGTGAACTTCGTATTATGTGGATGAAAAATGACCGGTGTCATTTAGAACATTGGATAATATTTTGCAAAAAAATACAACATAATAATATATTTTATGTGAGAATTTTACTCTTATCTAAAGCAAAATATCTATGCTGTTAAGACCACTGAACTATAACGTTTCCGATGGAGTTCATTGGATACTACTCTACTTCCCTAGATAGGCTGAAATTGATTGTTTATACGTGATATTTAACCTTAGTTTATCATCTTTACTGATCAATGTCCTTCATCGTTCTTTCTGTGTTACTGTGTATTGTGAACAATGCCATTACAACAACGGAACAATTAATAATATTGTTTTATATCTTTGCAAACTATAGATACGGAGTATTATTCCTAAAGATCTCGAAGGAAGGAAATATATGCATCTGGTAAATCGTATCAATATTTACTCTGAGAGCAGGTAATCTAAGTTGATCACTGCTTTAATCTGATCCATTCAGAAAAAACTCGAATCATGACCTAAAATATTCTACGTTCGTTCTATTTTCTTCTTTCATTCTTGATTCCTGAAAGTTTTTGTCTAAGCTGAAATCTTCAGTACATTCGGCGACCAGCGTAGGAGTATCTCTATACTTTTTTTCTGTATGAAAGCATTTTATTTTCTTGCTTTTCTTTTAGAACTCATTAACTTTATTTTATTACTCCGATAATGAACAAATCTTTTAAGATCATCGAAGCATCAGATATATTTTATATAAAATTATGATGAAGGATTTCCTATAATCAAACGATACTAATAAAGAAATATCTATTAACTATTTTTAAACTTTCTGTCATAATCAACAAATAACAGAGACTCCATTTTAATCAGTAAATGTACACTACTACTCATCTGAGTCAACAGGTAGAGACTGCCTTTCTTTCAATCTTCATGGTACTCAGGAACTTAACTAAGCAGATAGAATGATACGCTGTAATGATTTATTGATGGCAGTGAAAATTTTTCTTGCTTTCCGATTCCAATATAAGGGCTAATAGAATAGAAGATACTTCTCCATCAGTTTGTTTTCGTCTAGAATCTACAGTTAATCGATTCGATCTTCATAAGCTTCATCTTACTTTCGTAGTGACGAAATCACTTATTAATTTAATAGACAAAAAATTCATCTTTTTCTATCAATTGATATAGAAAAAAATAGATAGGATTTTAATTTTATGGCGATGCGGTACTGTTGTTCTCGAAATTTTTCTTTGAATCTGCCCACATCCACACCCTGTTGATTTTTATTTGAATGTTATTATTGGTGAAGCAACATCGATTGTTGAAAATGACTGTGTAAAACAAGCTCCAATAGGAATTGAAAATTTGAACAGGTGATTTCCTTTTCCTCTCAAATAAATTAAATTCTATCATGATTTTCATATGTAGATAAAATAAGATATTATTGAACTTCTATCCGATTTCGAATCCTTAGAAACAAATTATATGAATAAAGAAGAATTTTGACGTGACGTGATGTTGACCATTTAAAATGTATGCAACAAGAAAGTATTATCTAAATTAAATACAAATTTGCTAGCATCCTCATTTGATGAAGAACATGTTGCATGGTTGAAAAAGAAAAACACAAAAATTAGAGGATCAATTTTCTATGTTATACAAGCAACTATGTTTTATTCTTACGTTTGTTTTTGTTTAGAAGAACTCTATGATCATGTATGCGTGTTTGATAGGAACTTATTTATTTTCCTATGGTCAAATATTTATTTATTTCACATATTCATTCCTTAACTCATACGAATAACTGATTATAAATATATTTTAGTTTATTCCAGTGAGTACCCCTGGTTATGATGATCCAACAAAATATCATTCAGGACCAGCTGCTTGTCAAGGTATGTAGTTTTTATCTTTTAAATGTTAAGTTGATCTGTTTATTTCTTAATTCTAGGAAGCATTGTTCAAATTTATTACACCATAAGTATGTGTACTTGTAATTTTCTTATTTAAGAGACTCATTTTTACTTCAGACGACGAGTTATGTCATTACAAAAGAAATTCCTGATCTAGCACAAACAATGATTACGAAGTTATTATTAATTACGCACATGGCAATGTTTTTCAGCTGAAATTCATTCTGTCTTACATGAGCCAAGTTATCTTTCGTTCCGTTGAAGGAATGCTTATATTTTATTTAGTTCTATAGCATGCAACATATTTGATTCAAAATCGACGTGCTGAAATAGCTATGACATACTAATATGTTAATCAAATGTTAGATAGTTGATTAGTTGTCTACAATGTGAAAAGTGAACGTTCAGATGCTGGAGAAGAAAATGTGAATTCAAACTCTTTTAATTCATACTAGTACATCACTTTTGAAAGGTCAATGTTGAGGTGCTAAACTACCCGATACTGTTAATGTTGCTATTCAAATTGAAGATACACAAGTTCATGAACAACATGCAACTAAACAGAATGGTTTCGATGAAAAAAAGTATTCGTATTATTTCTAAGTGTTCATTGAATCAAGAGATATTGACGATGATATTCAAATGAGTAAATTTGCTTTACAAAAGAACGTTCCTTTGGAACTTGCTGACCTAAGTATACGTGGTACAGTTGGACCACAAACAATACATGTTTATGATAAACTATGTGTAGTCGTTCTTTCAAATAAGTGATAGTAATAGAATCATGCTCTATGAGTGCATTCAAAGATTTGAATGTAAAACATGCTGTTTACTTTCAGTGTGGGATTATATATAATACGTAACTTTGATTCGTATTCCGTATCTTTCCAAACAGCTATTTCGAGAATTTATTCTAATAAAACATCGGTTATTCAAACATTACAATATCATCATCCAATAACTCATGTACAGAAACATACGAAATTTTTTATTTGATCATTTAGTTTAATAAATCCATTGACTATCTTAATCCACGATCTGAATATATCCGTGTCATTATTATTGAATGGCCAACAAAATCTTCAATTCCAGTAGCACACATTTTTTCAGCAGATATTCAATGTAGTTTACTCAGTGCTCGACGTTGTGAAAATTTCGATGATTATTGTCAACAAGTTGATTGATTTAACATCAGAAAAGTTCAAATGACATCTTTTCACCTGGATACATGATTTCTTTTTCTGGTGATTATAAAAAAAACTATGTTGTGAGAAATTCACATTATCGTTCCTTCTTGTGGATGAGACATTGGGTCTGCTAACTTCATATATCAGTGCACATCAACAGTTGAGTTTTCTGTCACGCAAATGTTTCTCTATTCAACATAATCTCTTACAATTTTTCTTGATTTATAAATGAAAGTGTTGTTCTAGCAAGTCGATGTTGTGATCAACCTGCACATTTTCTTCATCGCAACATGTTGTTTTGATCCTTAGAGATTATTTACCTCTTGGTAAGTTTGTAATAAGAAAAATCTTTCTGATATGAAAAGAATTGAGAGAAAAATGATTTCGTACTCTGCATCTCCACGAATTAACTTGTTTTTTTGTAACTTACCAAGAGATAAATGATCTTTAGTGATCAAATTCTAATGAAAAATGTATGCCAAAGATAAAAGATCGTGAATAAATGTTGTCGGTGCATATACGATGTAAAACGACAACATAAAAGATCAATTAGCGGTCTAGTGAAAATAACAAAATTTGTTTTTTTGTCACTTTTAGAAATGCTTGTGATCTTTACGATCGCTTGTACAACAGTCAATTAAACTATCAAAAGACCAATTTATGTAGTGGGCGGGATGTTAAATTTTACAAACAGAAATGAATTTCATTTGATGTTGATTGCTTACCAATTGTCTATTTCTTACGAATAACAAAAATGACTATAAATAGTAACGATTTTCAACGTTAGAAATCATTCCCCATCTTTCTTTCTCTTCTTACATATATTACATGTATAGTTTATTATTTAACTATTTTAGCTTGTTATTCGTACCGATCATGGTTCAATATCATAGGTAAGTATTAGTTTTAGTTTATTTTTTTTATTGTCTCAGCTTTTTATCCCATTTATTTTAATTTTTATATAATTATAATTGTCTTTCTATTATCTATTTTAGTGATTCAAAAGAGTAAGTATAACTTTTTGTATATATTGTATATATTTTACGTCCTACGGAGGCCTTCCATACATCGGCGTGTGTGAGCTTTATTCAATCCAAATAAGGGAAACGTACCAGAAAACGAAAAAACATAAAATCAAAAATACCCAACTCATCCCTCATTCTTGCTCCCCATGCTCCTCCTCACAGAACGAGAAAAGATACAATATGCATAACTATGTAGCGAGGAATGGAACGAAGAATAATAGCAGCTCAACTACGTATCATATACTCGAAGAGAAGCGAGAAGTCGCTTACACCTCCCCCTCCCCCTCCCCAAGAAAGTTGACAAAAGACACAAAAACAAAAAGAAAAAAACAAGTTCAGGAGACGAAAATACAATTTAAGAAATCCTGGGCTGGATCACTGGTAAAGTCTGCGTGAGTGGTAAAGCACGTGGAAATTGTTTGAGCTGTTGTTTCTGGTCGTGTAATTGTTTTAAAAGATCGTCATAAGACGGCTGCACTGATGGAAGGGCGGAACGTTCAACCAGATCAAACTTGTTGACAAGACGGGCCCGTCGTTTGAGCTTCATCTTGGAATGCCAAGTAGTATAACTACGTATCCATGTCGGAGCACAAAAGATGAGTATCACGATAACGCACAATAAAAAAATATTACAAAACGATAAGCCGATAACCCAACCAAGTAAACGACGTTTAAGATGGTTACTATTCATTTGAGCAGCATGGATATTATGTTGCTCGGACATTTGTTGAAGATTCCACGAAGTATGATAAGCTTGAAGATTCTCGTGCGTAATGCAGTTGCAATTGCAGTTGTTTAAATTCTCCTTACATTCACATCGAGGAGAAATATTCAAATGCGGTTCACACGCCGGACAGGGATGACAAACAGCACAAGTCCCACAAAACCAGGACTGTAAACCACCAAAAGAGAAAGAGGGAAAAGTAACAAGAAGAATACTTATGCTAGCAATGAACAAAAAACTACACGCCATGAGTAACACACAACACGAGTGATGATAAAGGCTGGAGAAACACGAAATAATCCCCGAAAAAACGAAGACCATAAAAAGGAATGGAAAAAGTTAAAAATGAGAAGCATTTTAAGAAGAAAAAAAGATATAAAAATAGGAAGAATGAGATACGTATAGGCAGAGAAAAAAAGAAGCCAGAAAAAACAGAGTACAAGATGTGCCACACGTACATGCCTGTAGGAATAGTACATAGCACCACGTAGATGATAAATAATTGATGAAACACATGCCACGATGATTGATAACATAAACTAATTTGATTGATAAACATAGCGCCCAACGAGTAACAAATGATGGAATCAACGAGTGTACGATGAGTTGATGCATTATAAAGTAAAAATGATAGCATCGAATTGGGTAGTTAAAAAAATTAATTTAAATGGAATCATTGTCAACGTAGGCTAAGGTTGCGGGTCGTAAGTCAGAAACATGATATCGATATTCGAAACCACTTGGTTCATGTTTCACAATATATGTGGGATGATTAGTTTGAACGATAATTTTTGGTTCGGCAGAGTATCGTGGATCCAACTTTCCTCGAGCAGCGAAAATTCTTGTGAAAACCCGATCACCTACATTATAATGAGGGTCTGGACGATTTTGATCATAATATCGTTTATGATAACTTTGTTGGTTCACGATGTTAAACTTTGCGTGCTGATGATAAACTTGAAGGATTTTTTGAAGATGTACGAAATAAGTATTAGGGCGATCAAAGTGAAAATACCGTGGAGGTGAATCGATGGGAAGTTTCGGCGAGCGACCAAAAAGAAGTTCGAAGGGGGAATACTGGGTTGTGCGATGTTTTGAACTATTGTATGCAAAAACAACGGCATCAAGGTAGTCATCCCAGTTGTTGTGATGATTTTGTTGGAGTTTTGAGACTTGAACCACCATCGATGCATTAAAACGTTCCACAACGCCGTTCGTTTGCGGGTGATATGGAGTACTAAGTATGTGATTATAACCAAGGAGATGTTGGAGTGCTCGCATAAGATTGTTATTAAAATGAGTTCCTTGATCAGTAATTAAGGTGAAACAAACACCAAATCGACAGAAGATATGACGAAATAAAGTTAATGCAGTAATTTCCGCAGTGTTGGTAGGCAGCGGAATAGCAGTAACAAAATGTGTAAATAGATCAGTAACAACGAGAACGTATTTATTTTCACGAGGTGATTCAACGAATGGGCCACAAAAATCCATACCAATTATAGAAAACGGAGTAGCGACTGGAGGAATAGGTTGAAGATGCCCAGGTTTCTTTTGACGAGAATAATTATATTGTTGACAAGGGACACATGCTTGAACATGACGCTGAACATCTTGTTTCATGTGAGACCACCAATAACGAGGACGTATTTTCGACAGCATTTTATCAACTGAAAAATGCCCTCCTTGGAAGGGATCATCATGTATTGCAGTAAGGAGAGATCGAACCATCGACGAAGGGAGATAAGGTACGGATAATCGAAGTTTGGATTTGGGAGTAAGAGCAATAAGTTTGTGAAGAATACCGTTTTTCATAATAAACGACGAAGACAATGTAGAATCACAAGGTACGTTGTGATTTAATTGAGAAATGATACTACGAATATTGGAATCCTGAGCCTGTTCATGAGACAATTGACTTGGATCGAAAAGATTTGGAGAAGGAGTTGTTGTGATAATTGGTGAACAAGTGGTAACCGAATCTTCAGAAGAACAAGACGAAGCATCGGAACGATCATCGACTTTATCCAAATCAGATACACCTAGTGTTGGTAATTTCCGTCGAGGACGAAGTATCATTGGAGCAACAATATTCACTGACGGCTGATGAGGAGTGTGTAAATGTGATGAACTGGAACATGGAAGTTTGCTTTCGAGACCATAATCAATATCAAAAAGTGGATCATCGGCAGGTCTAGAAAGATAATCAGCAAGGCAATTGCTCTTACCATCAATATGCTTCATTTCGGCAATATGATATTCTTGAATTAAGTTGGCTACACGTTCAATGCGACGATTGTTCACTGGTTTTTGTAACATGCCACATATGGGACAATGATCAGTATGTATATAAACTGTGCGTCCTAAAACTAGAGTTCGCATACGTTGTAAGCAATGAAAAATGGCTAAGGCTTCTCTTTCGGGAACTGAATATTTTTGTTCGACTGGTGAGAGAACTTTTGAATGATAAAAAAGGTTATGACGTTGGCCGTTGACATTTTGAAATAAAACACCACCAGTTGCAATTCCACTCGCATCAGTAGCTAAGTGTAGTGGAAAACCATCGACGGGAAAATGAAGAAAAAGTGGAGCAGTTGTAAGTAAACGTTTGAGAGCATGGAATGCATTCGATTGTTCCACCGTCCATTTGAAAAGATGCCGTCGGTCTTTAGTCAAATTAGAGACTTTGTGGATTGATGCAGCGATATGACTAAAATTAGGAACAAATTTTCTATAATATGCAATACCACCAAGAAATTTATTAGTTTCTTTAAGTGTGCGTGGTTCTTGTAAATCTAAAATAGCTTGAATGGCGTTAGGAGTTGGTTCAATTGACGTTTCAGAGACTTGATGACCAAGTACGACAACTCGTTGTACAGCAAGTTCGCATTTCGAAGCGTTGAGCACAAGTTTGTCTTTTGCAAGAGTTTCAAAGACCGACTTCAAATGATGTATATGTTCGGCGAATGATTTGGAACAAATGATGATATCATCGAGGAAGGCATGACAAAACGCGCGACAGGGTTGCATAAGCTTGGACATAATCTTTTGAAATGCAGCAGGTGCATTTTGTGGTCCCATGGAAAGTACACGAAATTCATAATGACCTTGAGACACGACAAATGCCGTCTTTGGGCGATCAGCTGGCGGTAGACGAAACTGGTGGTAACCGGATTTGAGATCCAGGCGACTAAAATATTTGTACCCCTCGCCAAGTTCCTGCAGTAGATCTTCGGTGTGAGGCAAAGGACTAGCATCGGGAACAGTAATTTTATTTAATGCTCGATAATCCACAACTAGTCGACCCGGGCGATTGTCTTTTCGAGGGACGATAAACGCTGGTGCTGCATAAGGTGAGTTTGACTCTTGAATAATACCGGCTTCAAGAAACTCTTCAATAAGACGTTGTGTTTCTTCACGATGATGCGGATTGCGATGAGGTCGGAAAGACGGTGGAGTATGTGGAACAGTATTGAAAACATTTTCGACAACTATATTGGAAATATTGTGGCGAGAGTTGTCAAAAAGCTGCGAAAATTGAGCAAGAAGTGTCGACAATCGGGATTTTTCTTGTTGATCAAGTAGATGATTTGTTAATAAATGTCGAGTTTCTAAAAATTGAGAAGAATAATAAGAAGGAAGAGTGTTAGGTGTCACCTGGTTTATCGAAGATATCGGACGATAAAGACGCGTTGAATCATTAAAAATCCGTTGTGGTAGTTGAGGATGCGTGAAAGTAGGAGATGAAGTTGGTTGATTTTTCTTCTCGTTGTAACGACGACATAAAAGTGCGATTTGATTGAAAAAATTCGGTTCTTTAGCTTGATTGCTAAGTAGATAACCAAAACAGAAAAATTCTGGTATATTTTGTTGAACATTAGATGAATTGGTAACAAGTAAACGCGAATGATGATGATGAATGGTAACAAGTTTTTGAGTCGACGAGAGATAAGGATGTTCAATAAAGTTTGAGGTAGGAATAAAATAGGCAGATAATGACGATATTGGAGTAGAAACCAAAATAGCAACCGTTGAATGAGGAGGAACAAAAGTAGACTGGCGTGCGTGAAGCGGAATTAAGGGACGACGAAAGTGATCATCAAGACGAGTAGATGTACGACGACCGGAAATTTCTAATGACAAATGTTGAGACTTCACATCAATGTTGGCATTAAATATGATGAGAAAGTTCATGCCAATAATAAGATCGACGCAAAGTTTGTTGATAACGAAAGCACGAAAATGGATGAGTTCATTACCAAATTGCATAGAAAGCTCTACAGAACCGTTGCTTTCAAGAGGAATGACACCATCGGCTAGGACGAATGACGCAGCGGTGGTATCAATATAACGAAAATTGGGCATACGTTGAAGGACGTTGAAGCTGATGCAAGTAGCTGAAGCGCCGGTATCGATAAGAGTTTGAAGTGTTAGATTATTAATAACTAATGTTGCATAAAGTAGAAAAGGTTTGAATGGTTGGAGGTGTGAGTTATTGCAGACAGGACCATCCTTCATTGGCTCTGTCCGTAAAAAGGACAATCCAGAGTTGAATGACCGGATTGAGAACACCATTGACAAGTAATGGCAGCTGCTGTTGAAGTCGGTTGCGACAATTGCGTTGGAGGAACGGAAGACGACGGTGGCATAAGTGGAGAAATGTTAAGGGTTGATAACGGTGGTTGTAACTGTTGTGTTGAAGAAGGAATCTGGAAGTTGAAAAGATTTTGACGAGTGATGTTGCGAGGATTGGCAGCGCTACCGAACTGACGATTAGTAGAAGATTGGAACGACGGTGTATGATGTTGTCTAGAAGAAGGTCTGAAAGAAAATCGTGGCGAGTAATTAGCTTTGTTGTGGAACGATGAGGTGTATCGGTTATTACTATTGTAATTGGTAGTGCGAGGCGATTGTTGATAATTTGACAAGGGTTGGTAAGATGAATCAGGCAGGAGAGCGGAAGTTGAAGCAGAACATGATGTATTGAATTGCGTATTTTGTTCAATGGCTTCATGTACCAGATAGATATTTTCAATATCACGTGCCATTGCTTCAAATTCGGTCGGATCTTTTGGTTTCTGTTTCAGTAAATCAAGGCGATAAGTAGGATTCACTTTCGCTAACAAAAATTCTAATTTCATCGAGGAACTCATATGGGAGTCAGCTTCCGAAAATAGTTTGCGTATTTCACTGCAGAAACTTCGAATGTCTTGGTTTGGTGATTGAGCGTAAGAATTAAGCTTTTGCATTGCAATTCTAGCACGATTTGGCGAATCAAATGTTCTTTTGAAATGGTCAACGAAGACGCTCCAAGAATTGTTAAAGTTCGTCTTATTATCTTGAAACCAATCAAGTGCTCCTTTATCAAGTAATTGTGGAATTAAATCGAATTTCTTAACAGTTGGAATGTCTGCCGTTTCGAATTTAATTTCAATGGTTTTCAGCCATTTAAGAACGTCTTGCCGATGTTCACCCGTAAATTTTGTAGTACTTCGCTGTAAATCTTCAATAATAGTTTTTCGAATATCATTTTGTGTTAAATCTTCTAGTGATTGAGCGAAGGTATACGTGGTCATAGCTGTTGTTTTTTCAGTGGTAGAAGTAGGAAGTTGAGTAGACGTGAGAACAGGAGGTGCAGCAGTTAAAGATAAAGTGACGATGGAATCAAGGGTTGGCAAGGTACGTAAAGGTGCTAATACATTTTGTTTATGTAATAATAATTTACGAAGATCATAAAAATTGAAAATCATGTCTTCATGAGCTAGATAATAATCAAGTGCATCATCGGTTAGTAAATGACGAATAATAAATGGATGATCGGTTTCTGGATAACTTTCTTTAACAATAAATGCACCTGTGTCTCTTAAACAAGACATTAAATTATCCGGATCACCATTATAAAGTGTACAATTATCTAAGAGCTTTTGTGTATATTTTATTTCTTCATCACGTGAAGAAAAAGTACTTTGATATGGTTTTTTAATTGTTGAAGCTGTTTGAATTATCATAGGTGAAGAGGCGAGATTCGATTGCGGAGCTTGAAACTGAGTGATTGGTTGAAGCAGCTCTTTAGGAGGGCGCTCACCGTCGTCCGAAGCCATAATACAACTTCGAATAAGTGATTAATGAATTGGCAAACCAAAAATCCGGGGTCACGGCACCAAAATGTGAGCTTTATTTAACCAAGTAAAAAGGGAAAAAACAAAAAACAAACATCGAATACACATATTCAACTCATGACTCATCCTGAGGGTGTGGGTGTGGATATGAAACTATACGCCACTCACACCTGCACCCTCTAGTGTGATATCGATGTGGAGAGCTTTAAACTGTTGGTAGGGTAGAAAGTAAATATCTGATATCTTTTGGAAAAATCAGATATCAGCGATCTGATATTTCGTGAAAGCTGGTACCAATTTGAGATTTGTCATGAACTCTTTCTTTCTTTCTTTCTCATTGTTCAGCATTTATAGATGTTTTCTTATTTGCATATACGAAAACATCTCTATGTTGTTTGCAGCGAAAATCATGCATGCCGTAACCATTTAAATGCAAAATAAGAGGGGTAAATGAAAAAGAAATTCTTGTCATAGCTGCTAGCAACAATCACTGCGTTCACTAGCATCAACAAACGTGCAATGATGCATATAGAAGACACATACATGACACAACCATAGTCCCTAATTGAAAGGAATCTGTAGAAGGCATGATTCCTCACATACGTTGTGAATAGCCATCAAAAATTTGATCAATGATGAATATCGAAGAAGCTGATTGCTTTCTTCTGTTATTAGCATCTGTTATACTATTAACTGCTGAATGATATTAGGACGATACGTGGCTGTCATAAAATTTAAGTGCTATTTGTTCCCCTCGAACTGCTCGTGTAGATACTAACTAAAAAAGAATATATGAAAATTAGAGTAATTCAGATATGCGTGTAGAGAAGCAAATCGATGCAGCTCGATTTGATTCGTACAGAGATCTGACTTCAGATCAACACATCGTTAATTTTACACTTGCATCTTTTCACTCAAACTTAAAGCGATCGGATATGGATTGATATTTAAATGTGAATGACTCGTGCTTCAAATAAGTGATATGCACTGATCAGCATTTTCGTGTTCCGAGTACACCAATCATCAATTTTCTACTTTAGGTGTAGACTCGTAGAAGGGTGTCAAGTCTGCAATTTTCAATTGATATTCATGAGTCCAACTTGCAATTCATGTTTTTCCAATACTGAATTCGACACTGGATCGAAGTTTTACTAGGAATGTCTCATACGAAATATTTCAATTGCCATTCTATGTAATTCTATTTATATCACAATTGTAAAGTTATAATGAGTTATTTATTAACATTTTAGTCTTTCAATTACTCGGCGACTCAAGTCATTATCAACTGCTCAACTAGGCACTAGTAAATAGCATTTTCAGGTACTCTGTTGGGAAAATTTCAGTATGTTCATGATCGAACCTGATCTTTGAATCGTTTCTCGCTGAAATGTTTCAGGGTACTGTTTTTCTATATTCGTACAAATATAATCATTAGCTTTTTATTCTTTCGGAATCAATAGAAAAAAAAGTATATTATAATAAAATAATAGCATATTTCGAAGTATCATATCATAAAAATAGAAAAAAGTCTAATATAACATCGAAAAAAAATATCTATGACTTTGCAAACATCAGAAAAATTAAGAATAACAAAGAATGAAGAAGTATCTAACACACATTTGCTCCGATACCACTGATTGATTTACTCTTTTTTTCTAGCTTTCTTCATCTGTAAATAAATCGCTTTTATCCGACAATGAGCGACATCACTTTTTTTATTTTTCTATTGATTGACTAAGGATCATACAATAAAGCATTGATAGTCATAGTCAGCATTAATGAGACATTTTTTCAGGACGCTTTCTTCCGTTAAAGGTACTTTTAGCGTATCTTAATCCAGCTATTTTGTAAGATTCGTACAAAAGTCAAGAGAATACACTATGAGTTATGTCAAATAAACAGCATTTCACATTAGCTTTGTACATTATTCGTTGCAAATCAAGAATTATAATGTCATCTATACACTCTAAAAAGATATATTACTAATAGATTTTTTGGTTTATGCACGTTTTATTGTCACACTCGGGAGTGCTTACAAAAACAGGGAAACATGAAGGGACGGGAGAGATAGGAAGTAACAAGCAACAAAGGGAAAAAACAAAAAAGAAAGG